CGCAGCCGCTCAATACAATACCGATGATAAATCCACGTTTCCCAGCCTCAGCATCCACATCAAAGAATTTTAGGTTATTATAAAAATCCACGTCGCCTGCACAGAGGTATCGACCCAATAATGTCGCATGCGTCGTAAAGATAGTTGCAATATTCAATGCGCGTTTCCGGAGGAGGACGAGCGCGACGCCTGCGAGCCATTCGTGAAAGTGGGCAATGATGGCGGGTTTGGTGTTTGGGGGGTGCCGATCGTCGACTTCAGAGTCGGGGAAAGACCTGAGAGATTGTTGTTGATGGAGAAACTTCAAGATCCCAAAAAATCAACCCTTTAGTTTTTAATGTATATAAAAAAAACACGATCTTTTCTTTCGTTTCTTACCTCCCCCAAAAACCACGCAACAAGATACCCAAACACGATCGCCTCATTCGTCTCCCGATCATCAGGCGGAGACGGAATCCCCGCAATACTCCACAAATCACTCTTCCACTCATTCATCCTATGATACGCCGAACTCACATCCAACAACAACACATGCGGCGCCCCCTCAATCAACCAACGCCCATAAAGATATTTCACACCCCTCTGCGCCAAATTATCCAATGTGGCTTTCATGGCTTCTGATTGAGGCTGCGTGATGGCTTCTACTTCCATTGGCGCGGTTTTGTAGGATAAAGGCCCGATGAGACAGTATCGGTCTCCATATTCGTTGCATGTAACGGGGGCTTTGGACTTTATCACAGTGTAGATTCCACCCACTGTCATTTTCAAACTTAGCGCGCGCGCGCATCTACACAACCGTATGAATTGGAGACAAACCTTTATTCGCAACCTCCCATGCAATCTCGAATAACAATGGTTTGGTGATATCCACCTGGGCGTGCTCGCTAACAGGCATGTTTGTAACCAATCAATCTCTAAAATAACAAAATGAGTAATGTAATCTCTCACAGACACAAAAAACACACAAGTTTCAAACTCTACCAAAAAGCAAAAACACACAAAAAATACGGATGTTAAAGCATCTCACTTGCAGCTTCTAATAAACGCAAGTGTTCTGTAAAAATACTTGACGTCATCGATTGTGTCGTTGTCGATGGCGTTACAAAGGTATTAGGTAATAGCTGTCGCGTGGTCTTGTTTCTTCCTTTTAAGCATGTCGTATTCAAACTATCGTTAAAGAGGCGTTTTTTTTTTATGAGGATGTTTGTTGGTGAGGAAAACATATATCATTCCATTGTTGAATAAGACTTGAGCATTGTTGGGGGTTTCCATTTTCGTTTTTAAACTTTATGGAGTATCCTTATTCGTCGCCGCATTTACATTCAAGAGTTCATGGGTTTCTACTCGACTCACACGAATGCAAGCGTAAAGAGTATATTCTATCAGTGCAAATGTCGTAATGGCACATCTCTTGCATTCACGTAAATGCGTGTAATATACTCACGAATAGTGTCCTTGAACAGTCGGCATTGGATATCTGTTTTAGGGTTAAGATTTTACATGGATGATATGGTAAAATAATGCCTCTTCTATATCCTTTTGCCATGTGCAAACAATTTACTCTCAAACAATTCAAACGGTATCGCTGATACAGGTTTGTCATCAGGTATTTTGCCATTACGTTCCTACAGCAGAAGCAGTGTACCAAAAAGGTTTTTTTCTTGGAAATATGAAAAAGGGAGCGATAGTTCATTTATCATCATGCGGATGTTAGGTCACATCTGGACAGCATGAAAATTGTATGGATGTGGTATATGCATCATAATGCAATGTGCGGCTTAAAAACTGGCTAGCATTACGGCGTGCAATGTACGAGATTTCAGCAATGAAACAAGTGCATAATGCTAAAGTCAATCAATTTACGTTTAGCTACTCTATGCCACAAACACACCAAAAACAACACCTCTGGAACTTTCATCAAGGCACATCCCATACACACCAAGACCAAAAAAATCCCAAAATCATATCAGAAAAAGGACAAAAATACCATTATACACTCGTTCAATTCCTCCAACACAACACATTCGCGTCCATAATCCAACAAAGCGATGAAAATGACATTATCCTCCACAATCACTACATTCCAAAATCTCTACCAACAACAAAAAACCGTAAAGATGCACACTATAAAAAACCCCATTCCACCACCAAAAAAAAAAACTCTACACATTTCAAAACATGAACAAAAAACCATCTTCCAAATCCACCGAAACACTCATCAACCCACCAGATTCATTCAAGTCCACCGAAACCCTCATCAACCCACCAGACTCATCAAAATCCGAGACGTTGAACCCCTCGAAAAAAAGTCAAGAGAAACAAAAGGAACGAGCTGAGCAGCATGCGGAGATGGTGGAGGGGTTAAAAAAGTTGGGGTATTTGTAATGTGCTGTAAGGAGTCTAGTTCTTTGTACAAGACGGGTATAGAAAAACAATTGTCGTATGCTTTTAAAAGACAGGAGTACATGGGATGCCACTGGAGTGGAAGATCCAACCATTTGTTCTATCTGTTCTATATAACAACTTTTGTTTTGTTTGTAGTGTTCTTTGGAATGCTGATAGGTTTTGCTATACACGGCATGTATACCCGTCCACCTTTTTCTCATTATAAAGAGAAATTATGAATCCTGTCGCATTTAACGACGACTTTTTTGGTGGCCTTTATGAACGCGGTATCGAATTATCGTCCCAGTTCATGCCATCCTTCTTTCTTATTCACTGCGACATTGGTAGGAATCAAGCTTGGCAACTACTGTGATATGTGATGAATGGACGAGTCAGGCTACTTTTGCTTTGGTGGATTAAGGTGGTCCTAGACAGCGTTTCTGAATGCCCACCTGCTGTATTTAATTTCTTTTCTAATGTCCACTCATTCCAGCCTCTTACTAGTTTTGTTTTCAACGGACCACAAAAAGTTACCACACTATTAAAATAGTCCTAAACACCTTTTTATCAACTTGGACTTTCCGTTTCTTGGTCCTACATTGTTATCTACCACATTGTTCGTCATGGTAGCGCTCCGGTAAGAGAACCGTCCATTTCTACCCAGCCAGACAATGGTGGTGGCTGTATGAAATCGAGCAACTTACAAGTACCCATCCCCGAGATCAGCAGGGAATGTCAAACGTTCTTTGAATCTGGTTGCAAGAAAATGGGTGGCATCATTACCTCCACTTTCTGTGTGTATGTGTGTAGACATGCATGTTGCATTGCAATGTATGGAATCCCCTCTCCACATTGAATTCGATAAAACGTTTTGCAGATGAAATATCGCCTAATATACAAGTTCCCTATGGAAAGAAGGAGATTTAACTCTGAAAAAGTCACACTTTTAGTGTTCCCCACACGCGATTCGGTCCAATCGACGCGCCACGATCGCGCATGCCGTAAGCAAGAAACACACTCGACACACGGCTTTGTATCGTTGAGATGCTTGGTTTCCATTCTCCGTTTTGTCGCCATCTCCAACTTGCCCCTCTTATAAAAACAAGATGCAAACGGAACGCCTCCTGTTCTGTTGGAAAGCCGTACCAACATTCATTGTACGCACTCATGCATTTGAGCGTAAACCATGCACTTTAAGAAACTTTTTCCTTTATTATTGCTTTTAGGCGTCGCGACTGTCGTCTATGCAGTTCCTCTGCAGCGACGTACAGGTCAAGGCGTCCTAAAGCGCCGTAACTTTGCAGAGGATGTCCTTAACACGAAGAATGCGTTACTTCAATTCACGAATGGGATGAACAAGTTGTTGGAGGGGTTCTTGGCGGCGGGAGGTGGGCAAACCCCGCCTGCACAAACTCCTCCGGGTCAAAACGCACCTCCTCCTGGACCACCTCCTCCTACAGAAACTTCTCCGGGACAAAATGTGCCTCCTCCTGGACCACCTCCTCCTGAACAGAACGTACCTCCTCCGGGGCCACCTCCTCCTGGACCACCTCCTGAACAAAACCCTCCCGCACCAGTCACAGTAGCCACCGCAAAAGGTGACGGCGGCCAGAAAATGACGATTCAAACAGTCCCGAGGCCGGAGCCTACGGATGGACCCAATGTGATAATCATCAAGGTAGTTCCGGGAGATAATCCCCAAGTACCAGCGGCACCTGCGTCCCCTCAACCAGCGGCGAACCCACCCGCAGGTCCAGCACCTACTCCGGCCCCCGCGGCAGAGCAACCCACACCCCAAGCAGCTCCTCAGTCTGGTGGTGCTGCACCTAGTCCCACGGCGGCGCCAGGTGCAGCAGCCGAGACAGGCGACACGGCCGCTCCCGCTGAAACTGCCGCACCGACAGCAGCCAATGATGCGCCAGGTACGAAAGGTGGGGACGCTGCTCCCGCCCCAGCAACCGTAGAAGCTCCGGCAGCGCCTGCTTCCCCCACGGCCCCCGCTGATGCAAAGACGGCACCCAAGACCGCTGGAAAAGCGCCACACCACGGTGGTGCAGCACCCGCGGCAGATAAAGTCACACCTCAAGCAGCTCCTAAAGCTGGTGGCGCTGCACCTAGTCCTGCAGCGGCAGCAGCCGAGACAGATGACACGGACGCTCCCGCTGAAACTGCAGCACCAACTGCAGCCAAAGATGCGAAAGATGCGAAAGGTGCGAAAGGTGCAAAAGGTGCAAAAGGTGGGAACGCTACTCCCCCTGCAGCAACAGTAAAAGCTCCAGCAGCGCCTGCTACACCCACGGACCCCGCTGATGCAAAGACGGCACCCAAAACTGCTGCTGCAAAAGCACCACACCATCCTGGTGCAGCAGCATTTGCTTCAGGCCCCACGGCAGATAACGTCACACCCCAAGCAGCTGCAAAAGCCCCACACCATTTCGCACAAATTTACGAACGGCATGAAGGGGAGGAGAAAACACCTGGAGCACCTGGTGGACCTACGACGCCAAATGGAGAGACGGCACCTAAAACTCCTGAAAATCCTAATGGGACACAAGTACCAGACGGGCCCACTTCCGGCGACAAGAAAACCGCTGAAGCTCCAGGCACCCCTACAGCTCCTGGCGACCAGAAGGGCAATGAAACGCCACCAGCGAAAATTCCTCCAACTCCTGGCGACAAGAAAACCGGCGGAATCCCTGGCGACACAACCCCTACAGCTCCTGGCGACAAGAAGACTGGTGACATCCCACCAGCAAAGACTCCTCCAACTCCTGGCGACAAGAAAAACGACGGCGCGCAAAAAGGAAAGAAGAAGGAGGCAGGAAAGAAAAAGGAAGGAGCAAAGAAAGGCGGCGACACGGCAGCAGATAAGAAAACCGGCGGAACTCCAGCAACACCGGGGGGCACAACAACCCCGGGGGGAGCTAAAACCGGTGGAAATGGGACACTTCCTGTCCCTGGTGCAGGAAAGACGCTAGCCGTCAAGATCATTGATCAAACAGGTACGCTGCAGACATGTTTGTAATACACGCTAGTGGCTCTCCCTAAACTGACTTTATCATGATGTACTAGCCACGGTTCAAGGTATCCCTATTCGCTTCAAACTTGCAGCTCCCGAACAGTTCCTCGTTGGAGGGGCTAATGGCAGCGCCGATGGTTTGATGGGTCTCAATGTGCTGCTTCACGGCGATGGTGGCTCTCCATTTGAGGCTTTCCCGAACCAGACCCCGGCTAATGGTCTGATGGGTGTGGCCCTCTTAGCAGTAAGTACCCGTTCTGTCGTCTATAAAAAGCCTAACAACAGTAACCTAATCAGCTTCCTTTCTTTTTTTCCAGCCAAAGAATCCGCAAAGCCGGAATCTGCCCATTTGGGGTGGTGGAAAAGGTGGAAACGATCGTCCCCTAGGACCTCTTCATTCCGCCGCCATCAACGATCTAATCCAAAACGAGCTCCCTAAACTTGTCAACTTTGACAAAAACAAGGTCAGCTTTACGGGTGTCTCCGGTGGATCCCTCCTACTATCGGGATACTTTATGCCCAAGTTTGCAGCCGCCTACAAGGGCAACAATTTCCTTTTAAATTGTGGTGCTCTAGCCCCCGCTGTCAAAATCCAGGATCCCGCAGCCCTAGGGACCCTCCGTGTTCACTTTCAATCCACGCAAAACGAACTTGCCGATCTCAAACCCGAGTTTAACAAAGCCATGGCAGCGTATAGCAAGGAATTGTCGGCAGCTGGGATGAACGATGATGCCATCAACAAGCAGTTTACCGCTGATGCTTCCCCCAAAGGCGCACATTGCGCTATGGATGGCAAGGCTTTTGTATCTGGAATCACTTTGATGGTAAATAACTTTGGGAATGTATTTGGAGACGGAAATGTCCAAGGAATTGGGCAAGTCAACAAGGGTATTGTAGGAAGAAAATTGTTTTAAGGCGTTTTCATTACAAACTGTACATAGTGTGAACTTGTAGATCCGTGACTGATAGGCTCTCTTTGCTGTAGAGTTAAGCACATTTCAATTAAGGCAAATCTTATCATGAATTCCTATGATGCCAGTCATGTTTGATATTCCACCCCATTTAACGATTTGAATCATGACATTACCCGTTGACACTGACAATGTGTGTAAACGGTCAGGGGAACTTGGCATCCTGTTGACTGTTCAGTCACACTAAGGATATCAGACAACATGTGGAAGATAAATGAACATCGTGGATAGTTGAATGCTGGCAGACTGGATAGGATACAAAATCCCAGCACATATTTTTGGTACCCCAGAAACATGTGTTCTGTCCAGTAAAAATAGTTAAAAAGCGACATTTTGATATATAGTTTATGTGGCAGGATATCCTATCCTATCCCGGCTTCGTCTTATAATGGAAACAAGTATATTTTATCCAAATATGAACATCGTCCACTAAATACTGTATGTCACAATAGAACGTCGCATCAAAATAGAACAGGCTCAAATCCCAACAAATCCGATATCGGGCAACCATTCGCTTACAGGAGGCAGATCTACGTAAGGCACCAAGGCACAATCCGGACGATTTACTACCAAAAAGTCATACTTTTGGGTAGGGCTGTTACTGGTATGCTTTCGACTATGGGGACTCAGACAAGCACGACCTGGTTGAGCATTGATCGGAGCATCACGTGACATGGCTTACGAAATCCTGAGTCACACAACAATGAGATCGTATTTGTTTGAGGTTCGTCGTAGTGCCCGCACCTCCCCCATCATCACGGTTGCACCGGCGCAATCACAAAAGGTCGGTCATAAAATCCAAGGAAAAGAATCGACAAACCTCAACACTCTTGTTCACTGTAAACGCGTAGCTGTCCCATTTCTCATTCCTTTGCATCAAGATGCGCCGGACATTTACTCTCCTACCTTTTTTAACGCTTTTGACCTCGACCTTGTCCTTTGCTACCTCCTTTGAGCATGTCCCTACAAAACCTCTTGACCCTGAGGGAGTTCCGAAGCGGTACGACTATAAGCAATCATTTAAGAAGCCGTACTTTCTGTATGACGACGTTGAGATCCCGTTCTTTGAGCATCATGGATGTACGTACCCCACATGGAGAGAACTATAGCTTGGGCTGAATTGTGTCGCGCGGAAGCGGCTAGCGCTACCTATTCAAGGGCCGCTAAGAACTTTTCCGGATGGCTTTGGAGGGAGGCAATAGTTCTCGTGTATTTACTGATCACATCACATCTTCACTTTATATAGCGACACTTTTGAGCCATGAATACGTTCGTCTTACACCAAGTGTACCAGACTCTAAGGGAACAATTTGGTCTCAAAAGCCAAATCCGCATAGTGAATGGCAAGTGCTGTTCTCCTTTTCTGTAACGGGTCGTGGGTATATTGGTGGAGAAGGGTTCGCGTTTTGGTATACGTCACGGCCAATGCAGATAGGACCGATGTACGGAAGTGAAGACAAGTGGGAAGGTACGTGCAGAATTGGGTGGTCTTGTTGCTTGTAGGTTGCTGTCTAACATTCTCGACGAGGCAGGATTGGGCATTGTCTTTGATACAGCCGACCAGCTGGAGAATGTGAGTTTGCTTTTGATCTATCGGCTACGTTGTCGGAGCGACAGGGCTCACTAGATTACCCTCACTTGTAGAGATACACTCCCTTCATTTACGGGGTAATGAACCACGGCAAGCAGGAAATGGCTCATCGAAAAGATTACCTTGCAACGTCTCTTGGAGGCGCTTGTTTCCGTGACTATCGTAATGACCCAGCACATACTTGGGCACGTGTGACATATGCGAATAGAACTATCAGAGTAAGCTCTGTCCTTCGCAGGGTGTTTTTAGGCTCATTGCGTGTATTTTCCACTCATCATGTTTGCCCAATTGAAGCTCGATATAGACTTGCGGCAAGGGGGACACGGTTTTGTACAGTGCTTTGAGCAGGCAGGCATCGATCTGCCTAAAAATTATTACTTTGGATTGTCATCAGCGACGGAAGCACATCTCGCTGGTACGGTATACTTTGGTGGACAGCGTTTTGCAGCTCAGATTGGTTAATGAGCATTCATGGCTATCAGACGATCACGACATTCACTCTTTCGAAGTATATGAGCTTGAGCCTAAATCAACCAAGGTAACTTTTCTGGAATTCACCTAATAGTAATGTCAGGGTAGTCTGATACCGCGATCCTTTATAGGCACATCTGCGACCTCATGAAAAAGAACACGTTGCTAAAGGGGACGAATTCAAAATGAGCGATGATATCAAAAAGGTGTGTGGACTATAAATGGTCAAGGCATGCTTTAAGAACGACCACTAACTTGGTCATTGGCAATTTAGATGATTAAAAAGATTGAGGATACTGTGGAAAGCACCCGAAAGCAATGGGACACGGAACCTCCAACTGACGCAATCAATGTAAGCCTAGTAATGGACGTTCATTTTTCGAAAGCGTAATGTCGGTTTGAACATTTTTCTCCACAATAACAGGCCCATATGCCCAGCGTCATCCAGCAACTACAAGGAAACCAGTTCCATATCCTGGAATCACTGAATCTCATCTTGGAAAAGATTGGAGAACCCAAAATTCCGCACGACTCAAAGGCGGCTGCTCATGCCACTACTCAAACCGAAGCGATCCACGCAGCCGGTTTAAAGTTGGACGACGTTGTGTAAGTTCTACAGCGCGCGTATATCTGTTTGCATACAAAGACTTGACGTTTTTGCAACAGACGACAGCTGAACGTACTTTCAAATGAAATCCGTGCCTTAACAGAACAGTCACAAAAGGTGCGTCCATCTTCGCGCACAACGCGCACAGATCAGGACAGCATGTCCTAACTATTCTTTATTCACCGGACACAGACAACAGTCTCCCTCTCCCGCGCACACGACAAATTGGATGAAAACCTTCAAAAGGGATCGTCACAATCATCAGCACCACCACCACCATCACAGTCCTCTCCTCTCGTAGTTGGATTTATCGGGTTTTCGGTGGGCATGCTGGTCATGTGGGTCATTAGCGTAGTTAGGAGGATGGGAGAGGAAAAAACCAAGAAATTTATTTGAGAGGGTGTTCCTATGTAGTTTTTACTCTCGTAGAAAAAGCTTATGAGGAGAAGGCAAAAATTCAAACTACCTAGTGGACCAGTTAGGAACAGATAATAGGAGCCTGTTGTTTTCTTTTGACTGTAATTTCCTCTTGCTGTTGAATACAACCGGCAACGGGGTCTGTGCATTTGGTGATCTTGGGTACCTACAAAGTAAACCTTTCACCAATTGAGAAAAGGAAAACTATGTGCGCTCCAAGGAAAAACTATGTCTTTGTCGACTTTCACAAATGTAACTCACTCAGCCGAAATAAAATTACTATTCACGCAGGATCCGTGTACTGCAGAACACTATGGTTTTTGCCCAAAAGTGGACAAGCAAAAGCAGGCCTCAACAAATATATCAAATCAGGTATACAAAAGAGCTGCGACCTCCGATTCCATCTTGTTGGTAACATTGGTAACACACGTAACACAGCTCACGTAAACAATTTATGGCGCGGATTCGTATGCCTTTTCCAATAAATCATCCAATGCCATGATGGAACCGGTCATCAAAATGTTATCCACGATCACCCACCCATCAAAAACAAAAAAAAAAAACTTGCATCTGGAAGCGAGCCATATTTTTCAATATACAAACATGAAAAAAAACTACAGAAAGCTAGTGTACAACACTACCTACCCTACCCCACGATAAAAAAAAAACTATGTGCCATAATTACAAAAAAGTTTTACCGAACATGCGTGCAATATGTGTGTCCGTTTCACCAGCCTTGATTCTTCAAAAAGCCTAATGCGAGTGGTATCCGAGCATTCCGCAATACAGCATCCACAATACCTTCCGCACTCATTGGACTCCCGTCCACTGGCAATACATAATCTTTTAGAACTCGAATGGCCACCTGTTCCTGGATCGCCTCCATTTCTTCGCTGCTCGATGTTGACGTCGAGCTGCTCGATGAATTTGTTCGTCGTCGGGAGTAGGATGTGGGTGCACGGCGGGGAGCAGGAGCGTTGGGTACAATTCCGCCAGCGGAAAAAGATGCAACCCACTGCTCCCTCGTCGGTTGGTCTGAGACGGCGAAAAGATACTTTTTCTTGCTGGGTGCGGACGAGGGTGGTTGATAATTATCGCCTGCGATACCATCCAGGTGGCTATGGAACGTGATCTGAAAACTATGACGGAGGAACGCGGGTTCAATGGTAACTTGTCGGGTTTGAGGGGTGGCGTAGCGTTTTGCTGATGACCCGCGCTTGGTAAAAAAGACGAGCTTGCGGCCCAATCCGGAACCGCGCATGTAGAAAACCGCTACATTAGAACGAACGAACTCGAGGACGGGAGGATCGAATTGGAGATCTTGTCCATGAAGGTGAATGCGAAGATGGGCGTCCGGATATGGAATGCGCACAAGAATAGGCGGAGAGGTATGTTTCAGCGTTAATCGTGAAGGGAATGGAGGAGGTGTAAACTCATTGTCTTGCGCCACCCTTCGGTCCCTTGCAAAGGTATCCTGAAGGGCGGGCGTTCGACTCTGCAAGTAATCAGTATCGACTTCGACAGAAATTTTCTCCTTGACCATCAAGTCACCATCCAATTCCGCCATTTCCAATTTCTCGCGTCGGACGCTTTCATAGATCTCTCCCAACACGTCTGATGGCACGCCCGAGGAATAGACCCCTGATCCCGCAGCGACCGCGTCGGCACGTACACCAGTACGAAATCGATCTACAAACTCTCGCATGGTCGTTGAATTATTCTCATCCGCGTATGGGTTATGAAGATCAGCGTTAAGTTCCATGATGGCAAACACAAGCTTTAGAGTGACGTGGGCGTCATAGTCCACCGCGTCCTTGTTGCAATGATACCAGCGTTTTGCAAATGTGTCCAGTATCGCGTCTATCACCGCACCTTCTCCTGGCAACCGTATGGAAGAGAGAAACAATCGCAAACTCTCATCTAACCTCTGGTTCTTGAATGGAAAGAACGATAAGAAGCCTTGGAGTATGTCGTGGTGTTCCGGAATCCCCAGAAACCTTCCCAACTGTTTCCGGCTCAACCCCCATGTTACATGTAGAAAATGCGCGATTGCATCAGGTGTACAAGGAAACGCCCTTTTAGCAATAAGGTATGCAATCGCCTTGATCGGATTTGTTGTAAACTTCCGAATTGCCGACTGTACAGCAGGGCTGGGGGCACGTGGACTATACTGCCATCGTTCGTCCTTCAGTACCAACTGTGCGTTACGCAGTGGCATGATCGACTTGACTTGATAGATAGACTGTTTTGGATCATCCTGATCTACCTTGAGCTGCTTTGCAATGATCAAAACGTCACTGAACAAGAAGAGGTATCGATCTTTGACGGTACTTGTCGTAATAACTTGCCACGCACGACCTTGATGAAGAAATTTGCGGGATTGCATGATACCAGTGACCGGCGGCGGTGACGCTCGGATTTCTGCAGAAGACTCAGCAAAATCCACGCGGTGCTGGCGTCCTGATGGGCCGTTCGAAGGTGCTTGAATGGCCGAACCTTGGGGCGGAGGGCCATAGGATACATCGGCACGACGGAGGGGGAACTCTTCCACACACTCTTGTGCGGCGTCCACCGCGACTTCGGACTCTGATCTTTGGCGTAACGGTCGAGATGGTGACATTGGTGGCGAGACCATCCCTTGACCATTTTGGGTGGGAGTCTGCTCAATTTCATTATCTTGACCACGATTCCGTTCATTTGCTCCAGTATCACTCCAATTTTCGTCATATTCAACGTCTTCTGGATCTTGCGGGAATACTGATGTGGGTAGGCGTCCGCGCAATCCAAGTAGTGAATTGGGCATTTGTGCAGGGCGAACTCGAGGGGAATGAGGAGACAAAGGCGACTGAGGCGATAAAGGTCCGGGAATAGTGATTGCACGCTCCATTTTCGGGGGGGCTAGCATCCGCGATCGACTTGAAGAGCGGACAGGGAAATTTGGCATGGGCATCGCAGGATCGACATGCATTGGCACGGAGGTTCCAAACGGGGACGGGGAGAATCGACCGGAACGGAGCTGGTCTTTCTCCCCTTTCAATGGTTCGAAAAAGTCCGGATCAGACCGGAGTGACCCTGGACCTTCAGTATTGGTGCCGTCTCCTATGCTCACATCTGCTTCAACCAGCTCCGGCTCAGAAAATATCTCTCCTTCTAATATATCCCGCACTTCTTCACCTAAAATCGTATCTACGCTACTATGTCGTCGGTGGAGATTTCGCTTGCGCCCCAGTGTTGTTCGCGATCGACGGATTGGTGATACAGACCAATCCCGAACGTGATCTTCGTCCATATGCGTAACGGCTGCTTCCGCCCGTGAAGTCGGCCTGCGCTCGAGTTCCTCACGAGGACTACCCACTCTTCTGTTATTTCCAAGAAAGCCTATGGCCAACGTTCTCTGGGCGAGTCGGTCTGCTTCCTCCGCGTCCCCTCGCATTCTCTGCCGCTGTTCCTCCAAAACCCGCAATTTTCTTTCAAAAGTAGTTTCATTCATTTCTTCAGCTTCTTTCTGAAGTCGAAGCTCGTCTTCTTTCCGTCGCAGCATTACAGATATTCGCTCAAGCGAAAGCACGCCATTGTAAGGAGACGGTGTTGCTGTTGGCGCTGGTGGGACATACACTTGCTGCGAGGAACTGGCCAAAGTGGGCTGTTCCGCAGGAATTTCTTCAAGCTCAGAGTAAAAGATGGGTTCACCAACCTCGGCTGATGGAGCTGGACCAACTATCCCGTTTTCGGATGTATATGATGATTCCACTTCCCGGTCCTTGTTTGCACCCTGATTTGAAACATTACCACGCTCCAATACTCTTTCAGTCCCTCGCCTACGCAAAAACCCTATGGCAGCAGCTCGTTGCCGATTGCCCAGCAGGTGGTCATCGGCCATTGTTGGGTGAGCGGAGGGATCAACCTTCGCACTCTGTTTGCCTTTCCCGATATCTGAGGGGCAACGGGAACTCGGAGAGTTGTGACATATGCCCAAAAAAGGCAAATGATGTCCGTGCGGTCGACACGTGGACCCAGATGTCTGGTAATCACGTGCTACCACGTCATGTCGATTGCCCTCAAGTGTTGAGAGCTCTCCGGTTGTCCGTACGGTCTTCCACCGACCATTTTGCTAAAGTCCCATACAGGAGATGATGGACTTTGCGGGAAATATTACTGGGGCGTTTGTAGCATTTGCTGTTATATGCTTGGTGGGTTCGTCTTGGGTAGACAAATGCCTGTGAAATGTGTCTCAGTGGCGTTACTGGTTCCCTCAGGCCATTGTTGTATTCTCTTATGCGTTAGTCAAATATTTTGAAGACCGCCATGAAGGCGAACCTTTAGGTTTGGCTGAGTTTGGTTCTCTATTTAAATTCATTGTTTTTAAATGGTTATCTACCATATAGTAACAGCTACCTGTGTTGTTGGATTATGTGAGTCGTCTATCGCCATTCTGCCAGTTAGAGGCCAGGCTGCTGATCTCTATCGTCTATCTCAGCAACTTGTCTCGCAACCATATTCCTTATTCCCGTCGATGTTTATATAACGGCGGGTACGACAGATCTGTCCACTGGACTCAAGCATCCCTGGGCAACACCGGATTTTCTGTCTTACGTCCAGCTGGGTTTGAAGATCGCTTACTATGGTGAGGCATTGTGTGTTGCCTCATCCGCTTTCCGCGATATTTGTGCTCAATGTTCTTGCTCAGTGCTTTACAGCTGTGTTGTCTTTGGATCATTTGTCGTGATTCCTTGGGTTTACTTTTACTTTGAAGAGGGCGGTGGAGAGGACTCTACATTCAAGCGGGTTCGTTTCAATTACGTGAGCATGTTCCTGGTGATGAAAGAGACCAATTGGACTTGGCAGCGCGCACTCAGTGCGACAAAGTACACGGCGGCGACTATGATCACCGTCTCGGTTCTATTTGTGGCTGCTCTTCTGCTGAAGACGCGGAATGATGATTCACCGAGAGATATCGAATGGCTTGAGAAGCTTTTAGGCAGTGGTAAGTATCGGTTTTACAAAGTGGTCACTGTGAGAACGGACGCTAATGACGATTAAAAACCTACAAGGTGTCGAAACGCCCTTTATCGCGCTAATCGGCGTGCTAATAACATTAGGTTTACTAGTATACGTCTCCTTTACCTCCCTTGGTTTATCCCTCCTACCAATCCGCTTCATCCAAGCTGGAAGTGCAAACCAAATCAACCAAGACGCTGTCGCCCAGCTTGCTATAGTGCAAGAAAGACTAAGGGCTTTCCGTGCCAAGTGTGGAAGAGAGGGACCAGGTGCCATGAACAGAAGGGAGAAGGGCGAGTTAGAGGAACTGGAGAGAAAAGAGAGGTTCGTCGTCGTTTGACGTTATGGTGGTAATCCTTGTTTTGATTTTTGGAATGGTCACATAGAGATTTGCAAACCCGCGTTCTGGCCATGGAGAGAGCTAATTCTAACTTTTGGGTCAGATTTTGGAATGGATTGAAACCGTTCATGGTACCTATAGCGGTGTCTCCAAAACTTTAGCTCCGTGCGCAACCTAACAGACTTTTGCCAACAGATTTTTATTGGAACGGTTGTCCTCCTATTGAGTTTGTCCATTACATTTGCGATTCTCCTAGCGTGTATCGACAAGATCAAGAATTCCTTCTGTGGGGCGTCCTGCGGCTGGATGCTCGATCATCCCATGTTTTATAATCCTGTCAATTGGCTTCTCCTTCGGGCCTCTAAGGTATGGGAGCTTGTTATTGCACTGGTCGGCAATGGCACTGTTAGTAATGCGTCGAACCTATAGTACTTTCCCTTGGACACCCTCCTCCTACTCGTTATCATCATGTACCTTTTCTTTTGTACACTAGTGGCGCTGACGCGGCTTGGTATTCGCTGCCTCTGCATTCCCCTATATACCATCCGTCACAATGCAACGAGCCCACAAGGTCTTCTCCTGGGAACGATGCTCATGATGCTGGTAACAGTGGCATACGGATATGTGGTGCTGGTTTTAGCACCGCAGTGGGGCACTTTCGGCGTGCAACGCTACGTAAGTTGTTTGATCTGATACTAGTATTCCGATTTTGGCTAAACAACGATTTTCTTGGCAGTGTGATCTCCCAAGTAGAAATTGTACAGATGACCCTTCCAAAATCCGTCCCTGCACAATGCAGGCACCAACAAGTCTTTGCACACCCACTACCATCTCTACTATCATTAACCGTACGACGTATACGTTCCCTCTGTTTGGCACAATCTTTTATTGGGCTCAATGGGCCTTTTTGGCTGTGTTTGTTGTCGGGATGGTGGGTGCAATTGCACAACCGGATGATCGACATGGAGAGGTGAGCGATGATGAAGAAGAAGACATGGAGAGGCAGGCATTACTGGCTAGAGCAACAGCAGCACGGCGGTAAGAGCGGTAAGATACATGTTGACTCGTTGTCAACAGGGCGTCGTTGTTTTGAAGATTTTGTTTCCTTGTACATATTATTTGTAGTTTTTAAATATTTTGTGTTTTTCTTTTGTGCGAAAGCAAGTCGTTGAATGTATCTTTGCGACTGTTAATGGTAGACCCACAAACTCTGGGTTACGACCCATTATTGAGCGTAAATCCAAACACTGGTATTCAAAAATCCCGATCTGCATCCCGTCTAGTATTACAACAATGCATCAGCCCAAGTACCATTTCCCATCCTCACTTCTTTTTTGTTTTATCGACAACTTCTACAAATCTGCTGCTCACAGCAGACCCCTTGCCCCCCGTAAACGGCATACCACACTCCTTTTCCAAAACGGAACATACTTCCTTCACTTTTGATCCTTGAATCATGACTTCGTATACAGGCGCCGCATTTGCTTTTCCCGGAATAGGTGTAACTGATGGAAAGAGTAGGTTAAATCATCAAACACCGCATCTGGGATGCAGAAGAAAGTAACTAACCAGATGTACTACTGGCACACCGAACCTTCAACCACCCAGCTAATTGCTCAGGATCTATTCCAAATCGTTCAATTCCTACAACCTTTGTCACCGTTTTCCGTCCTTGGCGTTGTTCGACGGTGATCTGGATCGGTTTTAATGTTCCTTTTCTATGAGTACAGTATGAATTAGGGGAGTCTCGAAATCGTGTGGTTGTTAAAGTATATGTTGAGCATGCTAGCCATACCGAATCTCAGGTTCGCGTCCCGGAAGGTGAAGCTCATGGTATGGTTGCATTCGTTCTGTCAACCTAAATGCAACAAATCAGAACAAAGAGTATAATTTGAAAGGGAGGCCAATGCGGACCCTACCTTTGCAAAATTCCATCTCTGGGAAGATAATCCACGCTCTGGTACTCATCCTTTTTCAAAACTGCATCGCACAGGATGGCGTCGATTTTTACCATTCTGAAGGATAAGGAAAACGTCAGCACACGATGATTCAGTTTCTCATGTCGGAAATGTTTATATACCTTGGATTCGCTCTGTCAATCAAGTTTTTCATTTCGGCGTACTCGGTAACTGCCACCCGTAGATCAGCCTCGGTGAACAGAGCATCTTTACTATATGAGAGTGATTATACGAGAGTGATTAGTCAGATGAAATGCTCGGTCGCAACAAAAATGTACTTTGAATATACCTTGCACCAATTTCCTCAAAAAGTCTACATTCTTTTGCGGAGGCTTTGTAAAGCTCGACTGCTGATATAGTCTCACCAGCACCGGACTTTCCGTTGGTTTTACTTGAATCAGTCGGAGACCGTGATCCATCTGCAGGTCCTTCGGGCTTGGCGGGCTTTTCGTCTCCAGCGACTTTACGTGGTGCAACAAATTCTATAATTCTTCGGAGGAAAATCTATAGTTAGTGTTTCGGGCACTGACTGCATTAGTAGCATTAACAATTCTTACTGCGGATGTTGCCGATTCACACTCATCAACATGGTTTCTCCGCCTCGCTCTTTTAGTTTGATCAAACCCCGCTTTTCCATGGCCTTGAGAAATTTTCCAACCTACACGGTTCATCAGCACTAAGGTCTTTCCTGGATGACGCCGTCTCTAATTACTCCACCTTTTTATATGACGATTGCTTAATATCTATCAGGGTCCCTCGTGGTCGACATGGTACAATGTAGTTGGAATACAACAGACTTGATGGCATCGGAAATGCTTTAGGGTCATCCGGTAGTCGGGATTTCAACACAGTAAACAGTGCTTGCTCAAGTAACTGGTCCATCTCTGGCAACCCGGGAATTTAACAAAACGAAAACGTAATGGGCAAAATTCGTCTTGTCTCACCAGCAGGTGACATTTTCACTTCTGTATCCGTTTCTTTTGCTACGGCCTCCTCGTTATTCTGCTCGATCTCTCCGTGGACACTTCCATCAAGGTTCAAGTTTTGCATGGACGCAGGCAGGGTTTCACTCGCTATGGGAGTTGAGGCGCCGGATGGATTATATTCAAGCTCTGTCCATGATCCACTAGTGTCCGCATCGCCCACTGCAAGAAAACCAATGAACCTCCATCCCTTAAAATGTCTTTACATAAAGACTACCCACCTTCCACAAAGTCCAATTCTGGAGGCTCAGACTTATTTCCATGAGCCCTGGAAAGTCAGCCAGCATATGAGCACTCTCGGTCAGCTCCTTTACAGGATTCGATCAGCCGCATCATACCACATGTAGTCTCCAAAGGTATGCAGAATCTTGACGCCCTTTCCCCTCATCTCATATCTACTCTTCTTAATATCCGCGCTGGACACAGTCATTGTACCCACTGCCATGGGTATCCTGGTAAACAATGATGGTATGAATGCTGGATCCGGTCACCATTCAAGGACAATAAGCATTTCGATGCTGCTAATGCATGATGTGCTCGTGATAGGATCAAGGACGATATAGGGTATACTTACGGGCTTCCTCGAACAGTGACAGCAGCTACATCCCCGTACGCAAAGTCGTGGAACCCTTCGGCTGGGATAATGACACCTGGCAGCATAAGATCTGATATTTTCCAATAAGCATAGGAAACTGATACCCACTGGGTGACACTAACTAACCTGCTCCATCAAAGAGTTTTTGTAGCACGGGTCCGTGCGTCATAATGGTGGGAAGCATAGCGGGAATCCTCCATAATGTGTAAACTTAACAAGAAGTTACCAAGACTGAGCGGATTTTGACATATACTACCACTAGGACCTCGAATTAGCTTACCTGTTGGAAAAATACAACCGCTCAAGTCTTTCCATAATATTGGTTGCCCATCGACGACATACAGGACCCCTTGCTCCCCTCCATGCGTAACAAACTTTGCTGAAATAACTTCCCCTCCCCCGTCCTTTCCTTCCTTGGTGGGTATAAGGTCGACGACAACCTCCTCGCTTATAGAAGGATATGCAGCCAGCAACTCTGCTCGCAGTTTTCGGCGGTCCGAAGAGCGTAGGTGAGACTGCGGTTTGGTGTGGAATGGCTTGCGAAACATTTTCAACGCTATAGTTTTTATGCAAACTGTCCAAGCTAGAGTAAGGCTGCTGCGCGTTAGCGATTCACCATGCCAACAAGGTGTGGTTGAGTTTGACCTAGTGCAGGTCATTTGGCAAACCATGACATTGTCGATTCCAGTTTTTGACCGTCTGGGGGGTCAAAATGAACTTGCACTCCCTACCTACGATGAATTTTTTGAGGGCTATCTCAGACCAAATCGCCCCTGCTTACTGACGCTTCCTCTCAACCCCGCTTTTTATCAATGGACAGTCCCAGACCCAACCTCCAGCTCCGACCTGTCCACAAGGAGTGCTAACCGAAAACCCAACTATGGCTTTTTGAAGGCAAAGTATGGTACCTCCACTGTCCACCCAACCGGTGCCGATGCGCCTATGGACTTCAAACAATTCCTCGTGCGAATGGAACAAGGCGACAACAGCATGTACTTGAAGGACTGGCATTTTGTTCTGGAACATCCAAATGTGGGAGCAAATGCTGTTTATGAGGTGCCGTTATGGTTTGGAGATGACTGGTTGAATGAATTTCTGGATGATCAAGGAGGAAAAGATGACTACCGATTTGTATGTGAGTTGGCCCGATCCCTGGAGCTCTTGAAATTCGCGAGCCGTAACTTTTTCACTTTCATCTTAGATATGGGGGCTTCAGGAACATGTACCCCACTCCACGTCGATGTATTTACTTCCTACTCATGGAGCGCAAACCTATGCGGAACTAAAAAATGGACGTTCTTTCCACCCTCGCAAGCACACTTTTTCACCACATTCCCGGGCTGTTCCATAACCGATCTTCGTCTGATATCACCAGAGACACATCCAACCTATTACACCACCACAACCCCAATAACTGTTTACCAGCATCCAGGCGAGCTCATCTTTGTACCCAGCGGATGGTGGCATCAAGTGGAAAACATTGGCGAAACCATTTCGATCAACCATAATTGGTGCAACGCCTGCAATCTTCAAGATATTTACCGGAATCTAGCGTCAGATCTCGCATATATACGGGAATCCATTGCAGAGTTTAGAGACGAGATGGGAGAGGATGAATGGAGCGAGCATTGTCAGTCGATGCTCAAGGCGAATAATGCCGGGTTTGGATATGACCAACTTTGGCATTTTTGCCAGTTTCATGCAAAGAGGCTGATGCGATTGCTGGCAGAACCGACTCATGATATTGCTGCTTCTCCTTGGGAAACCCCAAAATGCATCCTGTTTTCTGTTGGCGTCCTGTTAGAGGTTTGGCAAACCTTGGTGGGGGATGAGTGGGCGCAGTGGAAGCTGAGCCGGGAGGAGATTGATTTGACGACATTGGAAGACTTGAAGAGAACATATAAAAGCACTGCAGGTAGCAGATAGATGTTCCATCCAACCATAATTTTATTCCAGTTTGTGGCAAACACACCAGAATGAAACCGCAACTAAAATATAAACATCAAACCTATAATTATCTGCATTCAACTGCTTCGAAATTGGGGGCTCTCGACACCTTACCATATCAACGCTAATGAATACTGAGGCGGAGCAGGTTCGCATTCGATGTGAAAAAAGCAATAGCGAGAAGTCCATGTAGACAATTTATCGGAATCGCAAGAATGCGGTGTCATCCTGAATCTGACGAACATTATGCACGCTTCCGGTATTTTAGCTTTGATCAATGAGAAGCTATATTGCCCGAGTGATTCACGCTATTAGCAGATTCATTTGCTTGGGATGTAAAAGGGAGAAAAGACTCACTTCCGACTGCACATGCAACCACCGGGACTCGAACCCGGGCCACCTGCTTGGAAGGCAGGTATGTTAACCACTGCACTATGGTTGCCATTTTTGCTATCTGACAGTAAGTTGTTTTTGATAATGGTACATTTTTATTTATCCAGGGCGTGGAGGTGATCGCATGCTGGATTCACAAGTCGCATCACTCGCTATAACCCTTTGAAAATTAGTAATCTGTGATGCGTCGATTGACAAGCAAAATGAGTATTTCATCGGGTTGACAAATGGAGGGGGCAGAGGCTACACAAAAGTTATTCAGCATCCAAGAATAAACACAATTTCTTGTTCAAAACTATATAAGGATTGCATATCTGTACAACACCAAATAAATACACCTTAAGAGATACCCAAAATTACAGTCTTAGAATGTGCTCTACACATCCCAATTACATCAATCTACGCAATGAATTGTTGAAGGAATCGCTTTCCACGATATTTGACCTTTCCACCCAAAGTATCTGGTTCTACAGTTTTCTCCTCCGGCTCATTGTCTAACCAGCGGATACCAGTGTCAAAATCGCACTCGAGCAATGGAACAACTTTTGTTTTCATGATGAGCTTGTAACCAACCCACAATACAATGAAGAGGACGATATTGATGTAACTATGGACAGAATTGCATTAGAAACGCCTTTGTCGAGGGAATCGAAATGACCGTAATATAAATACCTTCTGAAGAATGTTACAACGCTAAATGTCGGTGTGAAGGCCTCAAATCCTGAGGCCAATGTAATGGCAGCGCAGACAAAACCTCCGAACAATGATGAGAAGGGGAAGGCCCATGCGATGTATGGGAGCCGGGAAACATCTCTTCCTTGCGCTACGTATGCCTTTCTGAAGCGGTAGTGGGTGAAACCAATGCCAGCCCAAGAGATAAATCCTGTAACGGCAGAAAAGCCTAGAACCCAGCTGAACACTTCTGCAGAACCGTACACCGACGCAGCGGCTACTGATATTCCGAATACGGAGGTGGCTGCCACAGCAGGGATGGGAACGCCCCATCGATTAACCCAGCTGAAGATACGTGGAGCCTTTCCTTCGCGAGATAAAGCCATCAGAGTACGAGACCCACAAAACAAGGCAGAGTTTGATGCAGAGATGATGACAGTCAACAATACAGCGTTCATGATGTTGGCAGCCGCGCCAATATTGGCGCGTTGGAAGACAATGGTGAACGGGGCGATGGCTGCATTGTTGCCGTCGGCTGCGGCGTCGAGCAGGTTCGGGTCGGTGTATGGAATGATAAGACTGCAGGGCAGAGTGAAAGTGATCAGATCAGTTTAGAATTGGCACTATCAATTTCGATTGAACATACCCAATGAGGAAAATACAGCAAAGGAAAAACAGGAGAATACGCCAAAAGACGTTTCTTATGGCAACGGGGACTGCTTTTCTTGGGTTGGCAGTTTCTCCAGCCGCAATACCGACGAGCTCAGTGCCCATGTACGAGAAACCAACGACAAGCATGACGCTGAGGACGTTGGCAAAACCATTGTTGAACGGTGCCCCAGAGTTGAAGGCTCCGGGATCCCTCCAGTTTTTGAAGCCATATGTAGTTCCGCCGACGGCTCCAGCTGCGACGAGGATTGCGACAAGGATGAAGATAATGACAGTGACAATCTTGATGAATGAGAGCCAGTATTCGGTTTCACCGTAACCTTTTCCTCCAAACATGTTGAATACAACGATGATGGCAAGAAGGATCAGAGCCCATATGTACGTCGGCATAATTTCTTTCCAAAAGCCTATGATGAGACCTGCTGCAGCCAACTCAGATGCTATTGTGATAGCCCAACTGAGCCAATCTGTTTATAATGTAAAAGTCAGCAACCAGATCACAAGCATAAACCAATGAATAAAAAACAACAACTCACAGTTCCAACCCAATGCAAAGCCAAGGGCAGGGTCAACGAACCGAGAAGCGTAGTGATTGAAAGAACCGCTGACGGGAATAAGGGTAGCCATTTCTCCCAACGCAGTCATGATACAAAAGACCGTGAACCCCATGAAGGCGTAAGCGAGTAAGGCACCGGCAGGGCCGGCTTTCTGCAGAGGAGAAGAAGCAAAACAAAGTTCAGCGAGCGCAACTGAAAACACTCAATTCACTGCACACATACCGCAATGGCACCTCCAGAGGCAACGAAGAGACCGGTACCTATTGTTCCGCCGATGGAAATCATAGCAATATGGCGGGCCTTCATTTCTCGCTTGAGCCCCTGCTCCAACTTGTTTTCACCCGAATCACGGCGACCATCTTCTTCCACGAATGTAACATAATCAGAGTCCTCCTTTGACATTGCTGTGGACGGAAGAGGTAAGAAAAAAGACTAGGCCAAGGGATGGTGGGGGGGGGGGGGGAATGGAGGGGGAAACCCCAAATGGACAGTGATATATATATACGACCAGAGTCAGAAACCCCACCTCAACGTCCGGTCTTCCAGCAGATAAGCCATCAGCGAAAAAAGGCACGCAAGCGGCTGGCTCCGTTGGGAAACAAAAGCAAAACAAAAAAAAAAACTTATGTTTATGGCACACTTTCACACTTGTAGCAATTTGACCATATTATGGATAATCTCCTCTCTATCGGAACCCCTGGATATCATGGATTCTCATAAAGCAACTGATCGGGCCCCAAATGAACCGCGCACTTGGACCGTAGAGTTTCCCTTTCTGGAAAGCGGATGTGGGGGGTGTTCCGTCGTACAAAAACAACAAAGGATGAAAAAAGATAAAAAATGTGGCAATCAGGGCATGAAACGGCACCAGTCAAGTGTGGCGATACGGCGTCGTAATGCAAAGACCCCCACCAGGTGATTATCTCTTTCGATCATCATCTCTCTCGTGATCACACTCCCTCAGCAACATACTTGCCAGAACGGAAAGACGGGAAAGTGTATGTCAATACTTGGCCCCGCCTTCCCGGGTTGTCATGTGCGTGATGGCCATTTACCAAGACCTGTTTACCATTGGCTTTTATCATTCGGAGAAACAACGGAGGTCAGGTGATGTTTGTGTATCATAACAAGCCTTTCTTTTTGGCGGTATTGGTACGGGAAGAGTGGAGTAATCCTTCGTTTTGTATATTTGGACACACGGGAAATCACAGCCAAGAATCATTTTGGAATTGTTCTTGCTACTCTTGAAAACAGACAAGTAGCAATCAAGTATAGCAGTTGTACCATTTTCGTATCTCTGCCTGTGCCCATATGCCATATCACCTAATTCAATCATTCTGGGGGACGCAAAAGCGAGCGAGGGGGAAGAAGCGCCCATTTGGTGTTTTTTGCTCTTGTGTCATTTTGTTAAAAAGAACCTCATTGGGAACGTTGGACAGCAATTATTTCTCCCCTCAATTGTCACCAAAATAAAAAATATAACGCAAGCGATATGGAAATTTTGATCATGGATGGACAAAGAATCATGCAAAAAAACCTCGTAATCTGCGCAACACAGTCGTATATTTAAAATAGCAGAGTGTTTTTTACGCGCAGACTTTAAAGTTCTGCCCTATTTCGGCATGATGGAGAGGGTTTATCTTTACAAGATGTTGCGCGGCAAAAAAATTTAAAAACACTCTTCCCCGATGTTTACACACAGTCTGCGCTCGACTGACACACAACGATCATGATCTTTCTCACGGGTTGCGCAAATGTGCTGGTTGAGAAGAAAGGCCGACGAGAAGATGGATGGTCACTGTGATGAGGTAAAAAGGAGCGTTGCCCTGGCAGGAGAACGGCAGCGCGCCCCATCACCAACCTCATCTGTTAAACCCCTGCTTCCCAGTATCTTTTGAGAACTGGACGTGTTTTGATCCATGATGGTACCAACAGTCTCGGCTGCCGTGCTGGCTGCGGCATGTGCGCTGAGTATCGCAGGTAGGCAACAAGTTTATTCATGCACATCAGAGCGTGGGAAAAATTGGCGAGGACGAGAGGAGCCAGACAGACTCTTTTCTTGACATATCTTGGCGTCCCAGTCGATATGGCGGCCCTGATTCAATCATGACTAGTCCCTGTGTCGTTTGACTTCAGCACAGCTCACACTATTTTTCTGCTTCCCAGGAACGGCGGTATTTGCTGCACCTCCGACGTATTATCCCAGCCCGGGAGGACTTGCATATCCTCCCGCACGTCGGATGAATCTCACGGAAAACTATTTTGGAACGCCTGTTGAGGATCCGTACCGATGGATGGAAGATCCTTTCTCAAAGGAGACTATCAAGTTTGCTTCCCAACAAAGTGATCTCTCTCTCAAGTACTTAAAGTCTCTTCCGGACCGCGAACTTTTTAAGAAGAGCTTCCGGGAAATCAACCGCTTTGATAGATATGGCACTCCTTTCAAAAAGGTGCAACTTGTTTGTCACTAAACCTAAAAGAAACATCAAGTAACAGTTGCTACTACAGGGCGAGTACTGGTACTATCTTGCCAACCCTCAAGGCCAAAACGCCCAATCCATTTTGTATCGTACCAAAGATCTCCAGAACCAAAAACCAGAGATTTTCCTTGATCCCAACACGTTGTCTCCTCAGGGTGTCGATCGTGTAGATTCTTGGAGCTTTTCTCCCGATCTTTTAAAGTTTGCTTACTTGGTCACCAAGAACGAGACGTAAGCACAATCCAACTGTCGCCGCAACGTTCAAGGTTTCATGTCGTTGATTGAAACTCTTTCAATAGTGATTACTCTTGGGTGGGCTTTGTGGATGTGAAGAGCAAGAAGCCCTTTGACACCTATCTCCGTTATGTCATTCGTTCCATGGACCAGTACTACTTCCGCTGGGCCTCGGACGGCACTGGTGTGACCTACGCAGTAAGCGAAACACTGCTCTCTGTCCATATTATACATGAATAAATTTGCTCATATAACCCTCAGCGCTACAAAGCACCCAAAGGTCTCTCCTGGGATGACGCTGGCCGAAACAACGATCTGTTCCCCTACGAGTATGACTTGCTCTTTCACAAATTCGGTACATCGATTGAAACCGACACAATATGCGAGGAGTCAGTATGCCCCGGCGCGCCCTCCTTTGCGCCTGAGCGACCTCAACCACAGAAATTTGCTGTCGTTGATGATGGGAAGGGTGGAAAAATCCGGATTGCCTTGCCATTGAAAAAGGAAAACGGTTTGTAGTCCAACGCATTGACTTGCAATATAGACATTAGCTAAAGATCTCTTGTATTTCAAAAGTCTTTACTCCCTGGGCCCCTAGCGTCGACACACCTGAATTCGACTGGGGATCGACGAAACAAGACGCCGGTCCCTTCGATACCACCTTTGTTGGCACAGCGGGTGGTATGTCTTACTACCGAACGGACGCTGGTGCACCTCGTGGGAAAGTCATTGCCATTCCTGAGGCTGAGGGTACTGAATTGGTACGTGTCATTATGCTGTACTGTCCCTCTTAGCCTGTATTATTGATCCGCTTTAAAACAGAGAGCTGTCGATGTCGTCCCTCAGGACAAGGAGTTGGTTTTGGATCAATCCGTCCAGATCGCTGACGGAGCACTTGCGGTCTTTTACCTTGACAATGTCAAGGTATGTTGAACGAAGATTTGACCCAACATTCCATATCAACGTGCATCTAATGCCAATTTAATTTTTTGCCTAGCACGTCGTCCGCGTCGTAAAGGTAACCAACGGCACCAGCAGCACGATCTACGAATTTCCCCAGCGGAATGGAGCCGCAACAGATATCAAAGCAGATACGGACCTCCAAACGGTGACCTTCAAATACGAAACCATGATTGATCCCGGCACCATTTACATCTATAACCTCTCGACCAACAACGTAACTGTCTTCCGAAAACTTCAAGCGCCGGCCGCCGTAGCGCAAGTGGTATTCGATCAAGTCTTTTTTAACAGCAAGGATGGAACAAGAGTACCAGCATTTGTCGTTCGTCCCAAGAATGCACAAAAAAATGGGCGAAACCCCGTTTGGATGTACGGATATGGAGGATTCCAGATCAACGTTATGCCGACATTTAGTGCATTTGCTGTAGCATTGGCGAGGTGAGTCGCTAATCATCTAAACACCTGTAGAGTAGAATCGGTCGACTAACACCACATCGGTACCAGGCATTACGGCGGAATCTACGCCCTTGTCAACATCCGCGGTGGAAAAGAATACGGATCTCCCTGGTATGAAGGTGGATCCCTCTTTAACAAGCAAAACTGCTTCGACGATATCATATCTGCGGGCAAGTTCTTTGTCAAGGAGGGATGGACGCGCGAGGGATTGTTGAGCATCCACGGCGGATCCAATGGCGGCTTGTTGGCTGGTGCGGTCTCCCTGCAAGCTCCTGGCCTCATTGGTGTGGGGTTGGCTGACTACGGGTAAGAACATCATCACTTGCCACTATTTCACAAACGTTTACAAACACCCTGTTCCTACTCCCAGAGTCCACGAGACCCTCCGCTTCACCAATTTCACGTTTGGTCCCGGCTGGGTGAACGACTATGGTCGTAACTTTGCTGGCAAGGAAGTTCTCTCGGCCCTCAAATGGGCACCTGTCTACAACGTGAAACCCAATGTCCGGTACCCAGCCATGCTCATCACCACCGGAGATCACGATACCCGTGTGAGCCCTTTGCATAGCTTCAAATTCGCGGCGCATTTGCAGAGAGTTTCCCACTCGGTCTGGGGAGCCAAACCCGTTTTGTTGAGGATTAGGGAATTGGTACGTTCTATTGTATAGTCCCGGTTTACCGTTACGATCATTATTAAACTGCTTTTTGTATTACAGAGCGGCCACAATATCTTTTCTCTCCTGCGTTACAGTAAGTGCAATGCCCATTCCCCCCTTTGTTATTTGCATTTGCTCATCAAATTTTTTTTTAGTGGACACCATGACGGACAAGGTCACATTCTGGGCTCAACAACTCAGAGTCCCATACAGGCCGTAATTCTATCAACGGTCTTGCATATGTATCTAATTGCGACCTCATTGATATATAGTTTAGATCTATACGTTTCGCAATAGAATCTTGCAGAGTATAAAAGTATCAAGTGTTATAGAGTGGGTTGTGGGTGGGAGAAACTCTGTCGTCGTGTACCAAAAAGGTCTCATTCAAATACTTGAGGCAAATAAAACGGTCAAACTGTTTTTTTTATGCCAACACGGGACAATGCTTTTATCAATCGAATGCAAATGGGCACTTGGCCGCTAGAAGATGGACCCCTGCTCGACCCCAGTATATCAGTCACACAATCGCAGAGCGTCCAATATGTAAGTATTTTATGTAGTGAGTAAAAACCATATCAAAATCTGGATTCTACATCATCTCAACACCGGTACCGTCAAACCACTGGACCACCTAACCTCTGAAATACATCAATGACATGAGGCCCACAAAAAAGAGATTTGACCAAAAAAAAAAAAAAGCAATAAATACTAGGACACTATCTGAAAGTGTTGGACGGCACAGTTTTTCATTGGGCGCTTATCCGAATCTAAACCATTTCTGCAGCTCTACATGCCCAACATTAAAAAAAAAAAAGAAAACATCGGACATAGAAAAGGGAGAATTGAATAAGCTAGATACATGGATTAAAGGAATAACGCAACTTGAGAAAAAAACGGGACCTCAAACAAGAAAGAAAAAGACAGACAGAGATAGAGGAGAGAGAGAGAGAGAGAAAGGCATGTGTGCTTTGGACCAGCAAAACAAAAAAATAAGAAAAAAGAAAAAAACCAAGCAGCCGATTTCCAAACCAAACCGCATCAACAGAAAATGCAAGCTAACATCAAAAGTATCCACATTTGCCCACAAAAAAATGCCAAATTGCCCAACCCCCCGACCTACCCACACATTCTGTTGTGCCCCTCTCCATTTAAATCCCAAAGCTGCCATCCAAACGGGGTATCAACCTTTCATCACGTCGGTATCGTCACGCCCTCTCCAACTCCACCACACCCAACATCCAGCTCTACAATGGTGGCTTCTTCGAGCCACTCCCCCCTTGTTTTCATTCGCTCCCTCAGTCCCGAAATCTCATGCAAAACTTCATCTTCTCTTAAAAAATTTACATCGTAATACGTGAATCGTAGTCCTTTACGACCGCTACCTGCGTCGCCAATCTCTACAGTCTTGGCCCACCTGACGCACTCGGGTTTGGCGTGGACCATACTTGTAAACACTGCTTCAGCAACACAAGTCTTTTCGAGACGGTCTTTCTCGACTGAATTGGCTACTCGACGGGTGAGATGTTGGTAGTGATCAAGTAGTTCACGTCCATTTCTGTACCCAAATAACAGGCCGATTTGCATGTCCACCATCCATCGTGCCCGAGTGCGAGGTCGGTCCGACGTCATTGTCCCTGTACCTCCTTCTCCACTTTCTACGGTTTCCTCAGTGAGGTACATGGCATACAACGGCAAGCATCGCCGCAGCCGGTACTCTTTCGCAGCCGCCTCACGAATGGGATCAATGCGTCCAGTCCTTGTCACTGGCGCAACCGTAGTTGAGTCAGGAGCCAGGTCCTTGGCCGAATCGTTCCGCAAATCATCAGGTCCCGTTGCACGTTGGTACCCACTAATCCGGGGGATCCCACCGTTGCTAAGACGTTTCTTCTTGTAGGAGGATAACGGAACATCAGGAGACGTCGCACATACACCGACTGTGATATGCTTGGAAGCCGGCGCAGAAGTTTCTTCATGTGGCGCACCAGGGGTAGCCCCCAATTGAACAGATAATACAACTGACCCTGCGGGAGATTCTTCGTCGAGCATAGAGCTCCCATTAGCCCCCTCGGCCTTACTTCTTGACTCGACATCCCCTTTCCGTCCATCATCCTCCGCAGCAACAGCGTCTTTGGAAATGGCTGCCTTGCGCTTCTTGCGAACAGGACTTTTAGAGGCTCTTTGCTTCTTTGTGGTACCAGGCGATCGTTCGGAAGGTTCCTTCTCATTAGCAGAACATTTCGCTGACACTGATGGCGAGTCTTCAATGCTTTTGGGCGCATGGGAAGAATCTCCATGTCCACGCCGTGTTTTATCATCGCGCCCACTTTCTTTATGCTCTTTGGACGCTTCAATGGAGAAACGTTAAATGTTAGCTTTTCGAAACCAAGGGAGGCAGGGAACAAATTCTTACCTTTCTTTGCAGCACCATTTGGAACGCTGGAACTAGGAGCTTCCCGCCGACTACGTCTTGCGACTCGCTCTACATTCTCAGCGTCCTTCCGGCGTTGAGTTATTTTCTTTTCACCAGTCAGGGCTTCTTCTTTGACACCATTAGTCATGCTCATGTCAAGGAATTCAGCCTCTTCCTTCTGAATCAATTGATTGTCCGCCTTCTCTGGTGTATCGAGTGGTACCATAGCTGGAAGGAGGGTCTGGGACTCTTTTGGATGCTCTTCCAGTGGTTCATCAATCCACGAAACATATGACGCGGTATCTTCGCGTTTCTGGCGAGTAGCAGGCGGTGCTTGCAGGCTGACAGAATCACCCGAATTTGAACGCTGTCGTTTACTAACTTCAGTATCATTTTCAACATCGCTGGAATCCGAGTTCATCATCCTCACAATCTCCTCAACAGACTTCGAACGGTGGCTAGCGGTTTCCGGAGGCGCTACGCTTGTCACAGATATGCTTTGCTTCCTATCCTTTGCCCCAACCGTAGGTGCTTGAATCGAATTTTCCAAAATAGGCCGACCATTCTCCGCATCAGGAGTACAAGACTTGCCCTTATCCGATCTTTTGCCTGGAGGTCGTCCTACTCGCTTCCCAGAAACACCAGATGTTCTCCTACTACCGGCTGCCTTTTTCGCCACAGTGGCATCCGCTGATATTGGCTCATCATCGTCCGAAGATGCGTCACCCACAGACGGGCGCTTCCGCTTTCGTACATTATCGGAGCGAGGTATGCGCCCCTCTTGGCCAGGAGATTTGGCTGACTCGTCTCGCTGGAGAATTTGCCAAAGCTGTTCAAACTTCCGACGGTCGCGTTCAGATTGAAAAGGAGAATCTGTCTCCTTAAGGCCTCCATGTCTGAAATACTCATTCTTCTCTGATGCAGAACCGCTCTTAGTTTTACCGTGGGACGAAGGCTGCCTATCATACATGCTGTCGCCTTGTGAATCTGTAGAGCTTCGACGATCGACGCGTCGCCGACGATCGGGCTCACTCCGCTCATCACCAGTAGATGCCTGTTTCAGAGCATCTGCATTTTGGACAAGCATGGATCGCGCAACGGCCTGTTGAAGGGCTGACATCGGTCGTTTGAGGGCCGTCTTGTATGGCTTCCACTTTTCTGGATTCTCGCATAGAAGCTCTTTGATAGATTCCTCCTTCGCCAAATCCACAGGCAAAGCCCCCTTTAAATTTTTCCTTGTTGGGTCAGCTCCATACTCCAACAACAGCCGCACCACATCTTGATGCGAGTTTGCTGCTGCATCGTGAAGTGGCGTATCGTTCCCAAAACCAAGCGCATTGATTTCAGCACCGTTAGTCAGAAGCTCCTGAACGCAATCTTCGTGTCCTGCCAAGGCAGCCTCGTGCAAAGGAGTCCAACCTGCATTATCGGCCCAATTGATGTCCGCTCCGAAAGACAAATTCCGTCGCACCTCCATGAGATCCCCATCTGCACATGCGTCATGTAAAGGAGTTCTCCCAGCTTTATCAACCGCCAGAACCCGCTTGGCCTTGTCAAGCCAATCCTTGATCACGTTCTTCATATTCTCATCTGCGACCGTAAACGGAGTTTCGCCATCGGCATTCTTTGCATTGATGGACGCGCCGTGAAGGAGAAGACACTCCACTACCTCTTGATGGCCCCTCTGCACGGCGTCGTGTAGCGGGGTGTCCTCATTGTCTCCAGGAACATTAACGTCCGCCCCATGCTGAATCAATAAACTCGCAATGGAAAGATGACCTTCTAGGCATGCCTCATGCAAGGCTGTCCAGCCAGCATTGTCTTTAGGATGGACATCTGCACCTGCTTCCACCAAAGTCCGACAAAGCTCATAGTCTCCCCGACTCGCAGCTTTGAATAGGAATGTTCGTCCACTCCGATCTCGTTCGTCAAGTCGCTCCCATCGTATGAATCGGGCTCCGAAGGAGAAGCCTTCACCCTCACGGGATTTTACAATCGCCGGTGCTGGAATGGATTGTTTCGTTCCTTCCTGATCGATATTTCCATTTGACCCAACTTGACCATCCCGCGAACGAAGCTTTATGAAAGTGACCCATTTTAGAAAATTTGCACACAGTCCTCTGGCATGTAGAAGAGAAGGAATACCTCAGCTTTCTCCTTCAATTGCTCATATAACGCTACTTGATTTTTCTTGAACTCCCGCATAGCCTTGGTTTTATTCGATGGCGGTCTTCCACGCCTTCTGGAAGTAACTTCAGCCCCATCATCTTCATCATCATCATCCCCGGATGGAAATAAATGAGCAAGCTCATCCCAGTCTTGTAACACACTCTGACGGGAAGTTCGACTATCGGGAGTAATCTGCTTTCTGGCTCTCGAGGGCCTGGGGGTTTGCTTGCTCATGGAACGGGTAACTCGTGATCGTCGCCTTGACGTCCTATGCGATGGTTCGGAATTGCTGTCAGAGTCAACAGTTCGCTTTGCAGGGCTCCTTTTTTTTGCTCGCCCATTTATCCGCCCGTTTCTAGCTGATAACTGGCGACTCCCCTGCCTGCTTCTGTCTTCCCCAAGTCCAGCGCCTCGTTCGTCACTGCTGGACGACGCTGCCCCAGAATCCGTATACTCATAGTCATCGCTTGCCATGTCGTTGGGATCAATGAATGGCCCAATAAAATCTTCAACATTAAAGCTATGGCTTCGTGAATGATTAGGGCTTGCATGCGCGGATGGTGGGGTGGACTGCTCCTGATCAGAACCAGTAGGCTCGGACGTGCTGCTAAGACTTTCACCGTCGACCTCAGAGAGTTCACTCAGCGAATCATCAGAAGACCCCTGGTCTTGCGGTTTCTGGTCGGTATACGGTTGGGCGCCATTTTTCTTCACCACGGTCACCTCAGACACTTGCTTTTCAGTTGGTGAAGCATTCCTGCTCTCCTCCCTATCTGCCGATTTTGTCCCATAGGTTAGCGGAGATGACGGAGTAATAAGATCGGCGTCATATGCCAAACTTCGCTCACTTTCTGCTGCCTGAGGGACCCTCGCGCCATCGTTGTCCGGGATATTTGAGGAATTTGATGTGGGCGAAATAAGCGACGCTTGCTTTACCATAGTCAGCGCCTTATTTTTTTCAGATACAGGTGAACCCATTTTCTCTCTGCCTAGGGTGCCTATATCCTCAGAACTGGCCTGGCCTTCTATTTTGACTCTATTCGTGGGCTTGTTTTCCTGCAACGTAGATGAAGGAGACTCTTCCTTGACTCGCATCATACAATCCACTTCAACACAGTCCACTCTGGTTCGACTTTGAGGTGAGGTGCTCACACCGTCACCCGCCACGCCATTTCCCGTTGATACGGTATCGCCTTCAATTCCGCGCGGATTTTGCGTGGCCATCCATGCTGCATATGCGGCAGCTGAATCGTAGTGTGGTGTATGTCCATGAGCTTGTGAGGGATACGAAGGGACGGAACTTCGTGGTGGATAAGGATAACCGGTATATGCAGCTGGTGACGGATATGGTTGATCGTAGTAGTACTGATTAGCTTGACTCTGTAGGTAGTAATCGTGTGGGGACGGTGAGCTTTGTGACGAGCCTGGAGGTGGGGGTTGCGGCGGTGATTGCCTATAATCGCCATACGGGTATTGTGTGGACCCTGGGGAATAGCCCGAGTATTCACTGCCAGGGGGGTAGTAGGGGCATGGGTATTGCTGACTATAATATTGATATGGATAGGCTTGCTGCGACCCTGATGAATACGATGTATCCATCTCTGTGCAAGGATCGGCCCCTGTAAAGAAAATTCGTTATTAATTCGTCATTCTTTAAGTAAGAGCGATACCCTTCCCAATCTTCAGTTGACCGCAGATCCATCATATTCCCGCGGCTTTTTGTGGGTTATCCAATCATACGGGAGGCATTGGTCTCCCATCCCATCGACAAAATCGCAACAAAAGTGTTGCTTCGGAATTTGCTCCAAATTGTCTCAAAATGCAAAAACTTGCCTCAAAAGGGTACCCGACCGTAAAGAAGTCGACGCTACAACGCAAGTGCAGCAAGAATACTTTCAAACAGTGCCGGCATTCCCCCGTTGCGGGTCCGAAGGCCGCGGAGAGCGACCGACAACGTCCGCCGAATTTCGAGAAAGGAGACTCGTTACGGGCCAAGCGTCCACCTGAGGAAGTAACTCTCGGTAAGCAATAATTCCCAGCCACGGGACATGTTTTATGTTTGGGTTCACGCAAAACGTGCGAGTTCAGCTAAAACATTGCGGCGAAAGGGAAATTACCTGATGAAAGTGAGATGACCGGTGTTGCACTAGACTTGTATCGTTCAGTGTACTCTTCTTGCACAAACGGTCACCTTGCCAGAAAGTGTCACTTTGCAAATTGTAGTAGCTGAAGGCAGGCCAAATGGTTGAGTCGGGATGACGATGAGACCAGTATGTCTACGTGAGTGAGACTCAAGAGCGGTCAACTGGAGATGTTGAGAGCAGTATTCGCTGACGGATGCAAGTAGTTGCACAAGTGGAGTAAAGACTTTCGCCCAGCAAAAGATTGGACGGCAGATGAACAGAAAAAAAAAAAAGGGAAGACCCTCGTTTAAACCGCACCCAAAATGACTGCGCAACCGTTGGACTGTACGGAAGGGAAGCAAGCAAGGGGGGTCAGGCCTGGTTAAGGCGCAGCAATCTGATTGGCTGCATTTTACACGTGACCAATCACCGCTGCCAAAACGACTGTTGCAAAACAAGCGAGATTTGCAACCACCATGATGATTCTACAGACGGCCCGCATGCGTTTGCCCACATTGCAAAGGGCTGGATTTAATAAAGGAGCGCGAGCATTTTCCACTAGCGCTCATCTTTTTGCTCAGTTTGTGGTTATTGCACGCGATTACACGGACGCCGAAGCACCATCACGCCGCCTCAGCATACGACCTGTTCACCTGGAGCGAGCCTCCAAGGCCTCTGCGGATGGGAAGGTCATTACAGGCGGTGCCATTTTAGACAGCCATGACAAGAACAAGATGGTGGGGAGTGTCATGATCTTTGAAATGGATTCTGTGGAAGAGGTAGAACAGTACATGCAGGAGGATCCGTACGTAAAAAACAAAGTGTGGGCATCATGGGAAATACTTTCCTTTCGGCCAGCGCCGTTGACAAAATGAGTATCGTTTAAATCGTGCTTTTATGGCAATGTGTGGACTGTTTAACGAAAAAGAGCATTTTTCTTTTCGCAACCTATTTCCTGACCGTGTGTGGTGTGCACCTTGTTCCGTGCCCGTTTTCGACAGATTGCTCAACGCTTGTTGTCGTCAAGCAAAACACACAAGAGTAACACTTGCAATGGATTCGTTCAACTCTTTTTTTTCTTCTAGTTTTTTTATTTTTTCTAAACAACAACAACAACAACAAGCAAGCTTTCTTGGAAGTGTTCCCTAATGTCGGTCATGTGTCCCATTGTATTGGTTTGTTCAAAAGCGGAAATGCGGGATTGTCATTACTTGTGGCATCGACTAAGCCACGCACACCTGCGCGCGGCTGGCGACCACTTCTTTTAAACCCTGTGATAGCTGCGACTTTGCCCTTTTTCTCCCACCATTTCATCTCGTACCATTTCGCATCTCGTAGCTTATTCACAGAAAGGTATAGTCAAAAATATGAAATGCGAAAGCTTTGTACAGGAACTGTGTCGCTCACTATCGTGCAAACTAGCCGCGTTCGGTCAACACTAGACGATTCACCCTGCACAATGTCTTTATCTGTTCCCGGCGTCCAGAGAAACGGAGTGCCGTCTTCAGCCTTAGTGGCGGACGGTTATGCAAGCAACCACTTTGCTGGCAAGCAGGAGCAACTCCAAAAAGTATGCGCGTATGTCGAGCAGAAAGGTTTTATTCCCAAGGAGCTGGTGTTGAATGAAGTCTCATGGTTCTATGGGTGAGCATCGCAAAGTTTGACAACCAAGGGAATTACTGGTTGGTAACTGACTACCCACCTTTTAATTACTTTCAGAAACCTTGGAATTGATGACATGTATTTCCAACTTGAGAGTGTTGAAACCATTGCTCAGCACATCATGGCGCTGTACGGAGCCAAGATATCAGCTTTCATTAAGAATGAACAGGCTTTGGACATCGAGCTGGAGCGGGAAACTGATGAGGGCGCAGTCTACATTAACACATCGCGCCCAGGCGTCTCAAATACAGCCGGCCCCCAACACGAAAAGAGGTAACAGCAAAAATTATCATTCTTTGGACTTGAATCTTCTTTCTCATATTTGTCACCATTTGCATATTAGGATCGATGCTCGATACCTGGACGGGAGCACCAAGAATTTGGCATATCGTATGGAAAGTTATCGATCCTCCGGCACAGTATCAAGTTCTCTTTCCACCCAACTCCGTTGCTATTTTGTCCGGAAATGCAATTTTGTCAAGGCTGAGCCTACCCTGGCAGAAGAAGCTGACATTCGCCTTGTCAGCGACAGCACTTTCCTGGAAAAGGCAACCGAAAACACACTCGAGATATACTCAAAAGTCATGAAACATGCTCTCGTTCGAACCGGACCAGTAATAGAAGTTTATGATATCCCCAAGAGTCGTCAAAAGCGACTAGTCATTGCATTCAAGTATGGATCGTCATATCGTAGCGGCGCATTCGCCGTATCTCTTTTTAACGCGTCCCATTGCTTGGCAGACACCGAACAACACAAGGTCTTCTTGCAGCCATTTCAGATCTTTACCACTTTTATGAATTGTATTCTACAAGAAAATATGTTGGTACGGACACTCGAGAGGCGTAGGAAAAGGTGGAGAATATGTGCCTAACCGATTTGATTTTTCAGAAAACTTCTCCAATGGAATTACAATTCACTGCATGTACCTTGACCAATTGCCAGGTAGCAAAGCGCCCCCGATTGAAGCCTCCATTTGGCAAGTAATGAAGGAAGCCAGTTTGATGTACTGTCTCCCTACATCACCTCTCCAGCACTTCTTCCAAAGTGGCAGACTTAGTGGTATGTAGAGCTTAGTTTTGTGATGCCTCCTTGCTCTATCTCATGACGCATGACTTCAGTTCAGGAAACTGTTTACGGCTATGTTGGATGGATTTTTGCGCAGCACTTCCTCAACCGTCTTGGGAACGAGTTCGTGGCTCTCTCATCCGCGTTGGACCTCAACAATACATTGCACGTGGAGGTTCTTCAAAAGATCAAAAAAAGACTCCGATCGGACACATTTACACGCGAGTATATCCTCGATATCATCAAGCTCTATCCGGATCTTATCAAGCTTCTCTACACCAATTTTGCAATGGTGCATTACATCAACCCTCCCCATGATGAAATGCGTGTGTCGCTGTCATATCAGCGTCTGCAAACCACCCCTATCTTAACGGAGGAGGAACTGCTGGACAAGATCAAAAAGACAGTGTCGAACAATCACGAATTGATGATCTTTGAGTCTTACCTGACCTTCAACAAGCACGTGTTGAAGACAAATTTCTACCAACCCACGAAGGTCGCTCTCTCCTTCAGATTGGACCCTTCTTTCCTTCCAGAGATTGAATACCCGAACCACCTCTTTGGAATGTTCCTTGTCATCGGAAGCGAATTCCGAGGATTCCACCTTCGTTTCGAGGACGTGGCCCGTGGCGGAATCCGCTTAGTTCGCTCTCGCAACAAGGAAGCGTACAGTATCAACCTTCGTAGTCTCATGGATGAGAACTATAATCTGGCGGCAACCCAACAGCGCAAAAACAAGGATATTCCTGAGGGTGGCTCGAAGGGAACCATTCTGCTCAACTTTGATCAACAGGACAAACCGCGTGTGGCCTTTGAGAAGTACGTTGACGCCATGCTTGATCTACTCATTGTTGGCGAGACCCCCGGTATCAAAGAGAAGATTGTGGATTTGTACGGCAAGCCAGAGATTCTCTTTTTTGGCCCTGATGAAGGTACTGCCGACTACATGGACTGGGCCAGTCAACACGCCCGTAAGCGAGGCGCCTCCTTCTGGAAAGCCTTCACGACAGGCAAGAGTCAGTCCTTGGGTGGAATTCCTCACGATACCTTTGGTATGACCACGCGATCGGTACACCAGTACGTCCTTGGCATCTACCGCAAATTGGGTATTAAGGAGGAAAACGTGCACAAGCTGCAAACAGGTGGTCCAGATGGTGACTTGGGATCCAACGAGATCAAGATATCGAAGGACAAGACCATTGGTGTCGTGGACGGAAGCGGAGTGCTTTATGATCCTGAGGGTATCAACCGCGAGGAGTTACTTCGTCTTGCCACCAAGCGTCTTATGGTCAACCATTTTGACATGTCCAAACTTGGCCCTAAGGGATTCCGCGTTTTGGTCGATGAGACGAACGTACGTCTTCCGAACGGAACCGTCGTCGACAGCGGTGTCAAATTCCGGAACGAGTTCCACCTGCACCCCCTCTCCAGTGCTGATGTCTTTGTTCCTTGCGGTGGACGTCCCGAAGCTGTTGACCTTAGCAACGTCCAAGCACTGATCAACTCCGACGGTTCTTCTCGCTTCAAGTATATTGTCGAAGGCGCCAACCTCTTCTTTACTCAAGAAGCTCGTCTTCGTCTCGAGAAGGCTGGAGCCATTGTCTACAAGGACGCATCTGCGAACAAGGGTGGTGTTACCTCCTCCTCCCTAGAAGTCCTCGCTGCTCTCGCCTTTGCAGACGACGAATTTGCCGAAAACATGCAAGTCAAGAACGGCGTTACACCTGCCTTTTACACCGACTACGTTAAAGCTGTTCACGGTATCATTGAAAAGAACGCCGAACTGGAGTTTGAGGCCATTTGGCGTGAATCGAACCGTACCAGCCTCCCAAAGTCCATTATTTCCGACCAACTCAGTTTGGCAATTGTCAAGTTGAATTCGGAACTTCAATTGACGACTTTGTGGGACAATGTTCCCTTGAGGCTCATTGTCCTTCAAGAGGCCTTCCCAAATATTTTATTGGACAAGCTGGGATTGGAGACGCTTCTAAAGAGGGTACCGGAAACATACGTCAAGGCCATCTTTGGCAGTTACTTGGCCAGTCGATTTGGTAAGTCTTGTTTTTTATTTTTGTATTTGATTATTATGAAGCTTATCGAATTTTGGATCGTAGTCTACAAATACGGGACGGAACCCAGTCAATTCGCATTCTTTGAATACATGGCTCCGTATTTCGCGAAACTCTCTCAACAACAGTGAAATGGTTAGCTACAGACTTTTCTAACAGAACATTTGTTGGACATTATTGTTTTAGTCATTACAGAGTGGGAAGGTAGATGGGGACAGTGCGGGGCAATGGTGGGCGTTTTCATAGAGACTTGCGAATTTGTGTGAGTCCTGTTCTTTGCATGCAAATGACAATCTGGTTACATTACATACATTATGAATTTGTTTACTAGTCACTTGGTATCGAAATGTTGACAATTTCGAATTGACGATAAATTCTCGCAAGACAGAGCATTCATCAACGGTTGTCCGGGACGTTCACCAAATCGGCAGTATTGCAATATATTTTTATAAGTCCAAAAATAAAGAAGTAATAGAATATGCAAACTTGTACAAATCCTGAGTATCCCGATATCCACCAACGTTCCATTATTATACAATAAATCACACCACCGGACTATCTGCGCCTTTTCCATTTCCATTTTCCTTGGTCGACCCCCCGCTTTTTTCATTTTCTTTGCCCCCCTCCTCTCTCAGTTTCTCAACCGCCTTGTATCCAACAACTTTTCTAAAATCAAATCCCTCACACGCATCGGCAATCGCCTGTCGCGCCCCTTCCCAAGACCCAGGCCCTAGCAACCGATATTGCGTCGGAACAGCAGGTCCAAACATGATTTGGGCAGCAAGAATCACATCTCGGGCTTTGAAAAGTTTCCATGCATCCGGTTTACATCCTATCAAGTCCGCGAGATCATCCATGTACGTAACATATTCAACTTCGACTGTATGACGCTCTTTCGGAACGAATCTTTTAGTGTGTTCCTGCCATTCAAGGTCGACCGCGTCTCGTAGGGATTTGGAATCGGGGAGCTTACAATGTCCGGCAAAAACACGCGACACCCAACGGGCCTGCATCTCTGAGACGGGCATCACTGCTCCAATAGGTTGGACTAGCCCCACAAAAGCAAGATTGCGGTGTCGGATTGGAAAGACGTTCTTGTACAATCGAACTCGATTGCTATCGGTACGTTCTTGACCCAGAATGGCGAGTGCATTGTCAAGGAAAGGGTGCTCAATGCGGTACCCAGTGCAGTAAACTACCGTATCAATTGTCTCGCTGGTTCCATCTTCAAACTCAACCTTATTTCCCTCGGTAAATTTAGCAATGTTGGGCCGCACCAAGACCTTTCCGCTGGCGATACGATCGAGGACGTGGCCATTGATAGTTGGATGTGCTTCAAAAATGTGATGGTCAGGTTTGAGACCATAGCGCCCCAGGTCACCATTTTGTAGTCGCATGGCAGTTTCAAAGGCAAAATTGGTAAGGGGTCGTGGAAGTGCATGCGCAATGCGGGATGAGAGATGGTCCAAAGGGATACCAAATAGGGAGAAACGGGGGAGAATCCATGTACCACTCCTTGCCGAAAGAATAACCTGCTTCGCATGATGTGAGAGCTCTGTAGCGATGTCAGCTCCCGAGTTGCCAATGCCTATGATGAGAACACGCTGATCCTTGAAAGGGTAAGGACTGAAAAATAAAAATACATTGAGTTCGAGTCAGTCACAAAGCACCAGTCAGTAACTTAAGACCCAGACTCACACTTTATATGAATGTGAATGCATCATGCTGCCTTTAAATGTGTCCACCCCCTCAAAGTCAGGTAAGCGAGGCTTCCAATGATGTCCAGTTGCCACAATGACGTAGTCGAAAGTCTCGCACTTTGACTTGGCTGGTTGATGCGACCGCGATCGGGTCTTTCCTCGACGCTTTCGGCGAGTCGGTGAGAAAGGTCTTAGACTACTGTGATCGCTTCCTGATGGAGATGAAGGCGGCGAAAGGACACCCGGTTCCCTTGGCGATACCGATGCTGACCTGTCCACCGGCTCGTATCCAACGGACGGGTCATACTCGCGGATGGGAGAATACATTCGGCTACGACCGCGTGGGGATGGCTGCGGAGCCGCAAGGCTGTCTGACGACGGTGCTGGGCTTCGTCCACGCACAGGAGAGAGCGCCCGCCGACCATCGACTGCTGGGGGAACGACGGTCCCTGTTGGCGGGGGACACGGGGCGGGACTTCGTGCTGTTCGTCGGGGATTTTGCGGAATCGCTGCTGCAGGTTGTTTTCTTCTAACTTTCTGCGTTACAACTTCCCATCGACCAGTGTGACTTCCTTCCGGACCAATCTCAGGTGACAGAGAAATAACTTTGCGGTTAAATTTGATGTGCTTTCGCAAGTCAAAGTGATCACAGTATAGGTTGAGGTATTTGACCACAAATCGGTGCTGAAATACGGTGATCGTTAAGACTTTGTGATTAGCGCTCAACTTAAGAGGTAGAGCCTACCGGTAAGAATGTTGGCCAATCTTTTGGAGCAGGAAAGTCCGAAAACGACATCTAGACGTTGCCCAAGCCTTATTATATTGCAAAGGACCATACAAACAAAACCTTTCCGGTACCTACCATTCTAAGTGGGCACAAGAGGTAAGGAAAGGTACCGCCAGATGAATAAATGAGTTTCCCAACGCTGAAAGGAGGGCTTATCATCGTCCACTTACTCCTTGCTTGTATTGATAATGGTACTCATGTAAACACTGGAATGCGTTTCATCGCCACCGTGCGGCACATATCTCCACAATCCCCCAACCTGCGGCTCCTGATCAAAGCACACAACGTCGAGCTTTTCCTCAAGACATTGCTTTAAGGCAGCCAATCCGGAGGCACCTGTTTTTCAGAAATCCGTTAGTATGGACGAGCCCAAAGCGAGTGCATAGTGGCGGTACGTACCAGCGCCGATGACGGCAACTCTTGGTTTGCTCATGCGCAATGACCAGTCGTTAACTCAAAAAAATGAGCACAACAGCGTTTTGTCCACAGGAGCTTGAGAATAAAGCGGGACAGCTGCAATAAACTTGGTGAACAGAAAATGAGACAAACGAAATGAGGCTCAAGTCAAAAGGTTCGAGAAGCTCTTTTGGGGACCATCCGCGCAGCCGTTTCCCAACAGACACGTGCCTAGCAAATTTCAACATCTCATTCAATCTTGCCCATTTTGGGGGGACTGATCAATGATTGGGTTAAAAGGTCTATTTACACAAAAAGCCAAACGCTATTCACAAAGAAAAAAAAAAAAACTATACAATAAAATGTAACAGATATATCGATCAATACTTCCCTTCATACTTGCTTCTTACCCACCGTTCAGCAAGCCTTTTGGATCCTCCGACAATTCCAAACATCACGCCGACCAGAACAATTGGTCCAGCCAGAAAGGTCAACGCTAACGTGAGGGATATCGGATTAGTTTTGCTGTTTTGGATGCTGATGGGGTCGTTTATGAGGAAGTTTTGCGTAGATCCAACAAGCATGCGACCAACTCCAGGTTGAGCCACTAGGGTGGATCGTGCCGTGGGCGCTGTTGTGGTTTCAGCCTTTGCCAGAATAACTTCTGTTCCTTGTGGCATCTGAGCGCTTGTTACAGTTGCGGTGGGAGTTTTAGGTTGACCGCTTGACGACACTGGTATTTGCGCGCTCCCATTTGGACCCTGAGACGGGACGCTCGGAAACGGAGATGCTTTTGGCGTACCGCAATTTGTCGAAAGTAATGCCCAAAACTGGCTTGTGCTCACGCTGATGGGACGGCAACTAGCGAAGCCGACAGCATCCATCGGACGAGCACCTCGGTCTTCGTTAGGATATTGTACTTTAAGGCACCGATCCGGTTTGCTTTCGACATTGAGCAACTGGGCAGAGAAGCCTGGACACCCAAATTAGCTAGGTGTGCTAGTTAATAGGTATAGAGGCAAAGAAATGGCTACTTACCAATATTCTCAAGTGTGCTCACTTTCCACTTGGAGTTGGGTGAATTCGCAGTGCAATTAGCCAAATGCTGGGCAGGTTCCCATTCTCCAACTACCCGATTGACGTGACCAATACAATGCCCTTTCCCGGGGAAATTGATATGATAGACGAGGTTGCCCAAATCCGTAAACGTGATTCTCTGATCGGGATCTTCAATGTTACAATTATCTACCATGACAAAGGTTCCCTCTCCAATTTGCGTGGCGTTAGTGCGGCTCCTGGAAGACAGGCACTGAGCGTCTATGCGCAAAGACTTGGAGAGCATAAGATAAACGGTATTTGGATTTGGTGGCCACTGGCAGAGTTGGAGCCCGGTTGCAGAAGGAACTGTTCTTTCCTTGTCTTGCTCACTGTCTTGCAAAGAAGCCACGGCGCTCGGATTAGCGAAGGGGGGGACCACCGAAGGAGCGGCCCTTTTGCCAGCCAAAGGTGTGTTTTCCATAGCTCTGGGTGAGTGACATGTCGAAGAATCAGGGCAAGAACGGTGAGAAGAGCTTGCGGAGACTTGTAAGGCTTCAGCGTGTGTGAGCATGATACTATGAAGAAGAGCCGTCGCTACAGCAAGGAAAGTCTTGCTCTTGTGTTTCTTCATGACAGATTGGTTATACAGCGGATGACGGCTGGCGCATGAAGAGGCGCAACGCAGTTGCCGACTTCCCCTCAAAGGGAGTGTGGAAATGAATAGTAAGAGTAATGAGTATGATACAGGGAACGCAAGAAGGTTCGGTCGTTGACCCACAACGTTAATTCCGAGGCCGGGGGTTGATGAAACGTGACGAGTGGAAGCTTCATGCCCTAGTGGCACAGCCATGAAATTGAAATTTCCTTAAAGGTCATCATAAACTGTTGATTCTTCCTCATAGATCTTCCTCAACACTATGCCGCTCGTCAATCTCTGCGGTCTTCCCTGCAGTGGCAAGACCACTCGTGCACACCAACTGAAAGTCGAACTAGAACAGTACATTTGTGACAATGCGCAAAACCTGGCGGAAAGAAATATTGTTCTCCGACCACAAGTCATTATCGTTAATGATGAATCTCTAAGGATCAACAAGCGGGAAGCTTATGCGAGTAAGTTTTGTTCACAGATATTTCCCCTCGTGAGAAACTAGCTAAACAAGGTACGTCTGATTGTTTAGGCCCACATGAAGAGAAGAAGGCCCGCGGAGCTCTCATATCTGCCATTGAACGACACCTTTCACGAGAAGACCTTGTAATTTGCGATGCAATGAACTATATCAAAGGCTTCCGATATCAACTATATTGTATTGCTCGTGCATTGGGAACACCCCACTGCTCGATTCATTGCGGTGTCTCCCCTTCCACAGCAGAGATCTGGAACGCTGCCCGTGATCCCTCCACTGCGTATGAAACAACAACTCTACAGGATCTTTGTACGAGATTCGAGGAACCTGACGCACGAAACCGCTGGGATGCACCTCTGTTTACCCTCATACCATCCGATCCACTTCCTATAGCAGATATTGCATCAGCTGTTATCCTCCGTCGTCCACCACCGCCTAACCTTTCAACCGTCGTGAAACCCCTCACGGAGACGAATTACCTCCACGAAATGGATCGGACAACACAGGAGATTGTGGATACGATTCTGGCAGCGCAAAAGGAGGGTATCACTGGGGACACGAAGGTTCCAAAAGCGAAAGTTAATTTAAAATTACCGCCAAGAGTGATTACACTGTCCGAGTTGCGGAGACTGAGACGACAATATACGAATCTGAATAAATTGCATACGCAATTGGACATGGGAAGGGTTGCAGATGGGTTTGTAGAGTATCTGAACACAAATATTGGATGACACCTGCTGTCACTTTCATAAATATCTTTGTACATATGCTACTTAATTAGAAATGAGGAAGACGGCGATGCATTATTTCAACCTCAGTACACCACACGCCAAACTATATCCACTCTACAATAATGTTAACATTCTCTATCAAATTATGCGGAAGTCAGCATCGCCTTCAAATCCCCAGACTCCACCATTTCCTTCACGATATCCAGACCGCCGACTAACTCCCCGTTAACATAGAGTTGAGGATAGGTTGGCCACGACGAAAATGTCTACATGGAACAATGCATTAGGAACTGCGCAAGACAGCACGTGGGGGTTCCGAATGTACCTTCAACCCTTGCCGGACTTCTTCATCTTCCAATATGTCAAAAGTCTGGTAGTCAATACCTTGATCCTTCAACAATTGTGTTATCTAAGACCGCGTACAATAGATGAGCGTAAGTGCGGTGACTACCTGGTGAAAACGGGGGGCGTAATCATACCTGTCGCGAGAATCCACATCTAGGTGTGTCGGGTGAACCCTTCATGAATAGCTGAAAATTCAGATAGAGGTTATCCAGATGGACAAACGTCGCGAAAGGTGATATTTAACCCTATCTCACCATGACCGGGGCTTGGTTGATACTAAAATCACAGTATGAGTAATTAATACTTAATTAGCGACCACACGTATCTGAACCTTACAGTTTCTTTAATCGTGATTCGAGATCCTCTTCAGCGGGAACCAGTTTTTGAAATTCACCAGACTCAATCTGGACAGTTATTGCAAAAATTAGTTCCGTTCGTTTGTGTCCTCTTGTTTCATGCTTACCATTTCCTTTAAAATATCCAATCCACCGATCAACTCGCCATTTACATATACTGACAGCAAGCAGGTCAGATCAACAGCCGTCAAGAACATCGCAGTTACAACTTACTTTGTGGGAAAGTTGGCCAATTACTGTACTCCTTCAGTCCTGAATTCGGGTAACAGTACAAATTACTTAACTATCCTCCTCAAATCTTACGTTACTTTCCTACCTTGGCGCACTTCCTCATCTGCTAAAATGTTGAACGACCCGTACTTGACGCCCACCTCAGAGAGAAGTTCAACAGACTGCCGCGAGAAACCGCATCGAGGCTGTTGCGGGGTTCCCTTGATAAATATCATGACCGGGTGTGAACTGACAAGCTCCTTCAACCGAGACTGCAAATCCTTCTTTCGTTCAACAGGGAGCGCCGATGAGACTGAGGCCGAGGTAGCAGCGGCGGCTGCAACTTTGGCAAATTTCTCAATTCCTGAGGTCAGAGCAGGGGCGTTTGCGCCTTCAACTCTGTTGACGGTTTTGCCATCTTTGAGTATTATGAAGGTTGGTACGGCTGCGATTTCGTAGTGTTCAGATATGTCGGGATAATTCTCTGCTTCCAGCTGTGGATTCACATGCAACGGTTAGAGAATTCTTCAACTTGCGGCAAGACAAAAGGCAGCCAACTGCACACCTGGACAAATTGCACAGCAGGATACTTCCTAGATAACTCCTCAAACACCTCGTTCATATCTTTACAAGGTTCATTCCATGATGCCCAGAAGTTGAGGGCCACCACAGATCGGTCCTTCAGTAGCTGCTGGAAATGTTCGTCGGACGTTACCTCTACAATATGTTCAAGTAAGCAAGTGTGATATTTCGTACAAACAATACCCACGCACCGTTGACGTTATGCTTCGACATTGCTCTCAGCGTCGCAGAATGTTGCTTAGGGTTATTGAGATAGATTTGTCAGTGGTAAAGTGATCGTCATCTGTCGTCCCATGGCAACAAGGCAATCGCGAGGCTGACTAAGCGGAGCCTCAAGATACGTAGTGTGTAGGAAAACACAAATGTGAGGTCTTCTTTAGAAAACGGGTCCGCTTGCGGCCATCTGATGCCTGGCTGCAGTTGCACTCGCTTTTCTATGTATACCGCCTTCTTCCCCTCTCCCCCCTCTTGCTGTTTTGTCCCAGCGACTCTCCGCGTCCTCAGCTCTCAAGCAATGATGAGAAGCATGATTGATCCGAGGCTGAGGACCTCGCTCTCCTGACAATGACTAGGCACAAAAAAGGATCTTGCAACGCCTACTACTACTGTACTGGTAATTTTCCATGCTTACCCAATCTAATTACGGTTTACTAATATCCACATCCTCGATCGGAACCATGTCCTGTTAAGATTTATTTCATGGTGGTGGGCACTAGTTACCGGTTAGACCAATCGTGACGTACTATCACATATGCAATCAGGCCTCGTATTAGTTATTTATCTTGTCCGGCTGCTTGCCGGCAGACCCAAGTGATTTAATCCACGCTGGTGTATTGCGTGTGGTATATGTGGTCGTCAACGTAAGTAAGATTATAGGTGTGGGCTAGGAATGCGGAAGTTGTGGTACTAAGAAAGTTGGCATTGATGCTAGGCAAGGCACCCACACGTCGACCGACTTTTTATTATAGGCCGGGTGATTGGGGCAGCGATGTGATGCGAGAACTGAAATTTTTTCATGCATCTTGCGATATTAACAACCATATCTGAGGATACCTTTTACTTCCCAGTATCGCGGATGTCGTGTTTGACCAAATCATTAGCTCTATACAATTTATCTTAAATAAATATATCTCACATACATTCACCATCAATCTTTCTTCCACTCAAGACCATCCAAGACCTTTCCAGAATCCCTCGCTTCTACACTCTGTATTGAATGACTACTTCTCGGAGATTCGAACTGAAATTCAAGAATCATGGGGGGAAGATTAACATCAATGTAGACTGGTGGTGGGTATTCCGGTTCCGGTTGTGAGGAGACTTCAGGATTCAAATGTGAAGAATTTGCGAAGTCGTCGGGTAGTGAGGTAGATCCACCTGTTGTGTCATGATTCTCGTGATTCTCGTGAGTATTCTCCGCTCCAACACCTGGCAAGTTATGCATTGGACATCCCGCATTCAAGTCTTCTAAGCTTCCCATCGCAACCCGATCCTCATCGTCAGCTCCAATCACACCAACCTCGATCACTTGCGATCGCTTGACAATCACAACGGATAACCTGTTGGCGTCCTTCTTCTGCTTAGGAAGTATCCATCGAAGGGAGGCCATTGAACGTGTCAGTGGTGTGGCGGGGGTAAGAGTCATTTCAGGTGGTGCGTTTAATCCTAGTTTACGTAGTCGTCGCTTTCGGGAGAGATGTCGATAAAATCTCCTTCCAATGAAGAAGCCAATAACGAGGGCAACACCTGCTGCGGCGATGATTCCGAATAATGCTAAAGCGCCCACTTTCCCACTCGAGTAATTGGTAGTGAATACAGCGCCATTCTGATTTGTGCTTACTTCACGGCTTTTGAGGACGGGTTTCGAGAGGTCTCCTGACATTCGGAAGTGCTCTGGTGTGAAGTCCATGGCAGGTTGGATTGGTGACGACCTTCCGAAAATTGAAGCGTTTCTGCTTTAAGCCCAAGCCCGTCCATCTATAGCAACAAGAGTTGCGGATTACAAATATCCGTGGATACCGCATTATACCAACAAAATTCGGCCATGGTATTTCGATGGGTGGCAAATCAACCGATAATATGTTCATACGTGAGCTATTTAAAATATCCAGTTACTTAAAATATTCTATCCAGGCTCATGCCCATTCCATATACACCCGGCCACACGGCTCAGGTTGGATTGATCCAGGCAGTTCAAAGGATCGTATCCGTAGAACATCCGCCTGAAAGTCCGACATTGCATAATCAGCACATGATTATTCACGTGATATGTCTCTTGGTGAAACAGCTCCGGGGTAATGTGAGCGGACAGCGGTTTTGGCGGAGGAAGCTGAATCTGGTTCACACCGTACGCAGGAAAGCACTTGCCGCTAACCTTTAAAGGTAAGGAAGACGAAAGATTGACAATACCCCATAGAAATGGCGTGAAAACTGATGCGGTTTGGCTATCCTCTTAGTGGTCTCGTATCAACCGCACATAAAACAATCTAGCCGGCTACTTGCTCATTCCGTCGCAGTTCATTCCGTAAGATATGATGACCTCTTCACGCAATGATGTGTATGGACTTCCACCCGAACAAGCGGATGAGCCTCAAGACTTCCAGTATGCACAAGATATGTTGAAGAGCTCCCCTCAACAACGACAGGAGCAACAACCACACCAACTCACTTCCGAGAGCCTGGACCAAGCTCTGGCGGCAATTCTTGGTTCGGAAGAAAGCGAAATAGCATATGCAGATATGGGCTCTGATATCACAATGGTGACGCCGACGCCTCAGGTAGTGCTTTCCGATTCGGACACAAACGGCATGGGTACGCCCCTCTTCGGATCCATGCCAGCATTAGGCCAAAACAAATATCCTTCCTCACCAGAGAACGGTCTCTATGCCTCTGTACCACAACTCACGGTGAACTTTGAGAACACATCATATCAGTACCCCCAGTGGCATGATCGCGAGGAGAGGTCGTCAGTGTACAGCGAATCGGATAACGACTCCATTTCGGTTTCTTCTGGTGCGCCATCGCCGTTCATGGGACCTGTCGATTTTGGACACCAGCAGTATCCAAGCATCAATTTGAGTGCGCCTTTTCTGGAAGTTCCTTCCCGACAATCGAGACGTTCCAGTGCAAGTTCTTTAAGCGGGTTCGAAGATTTGACACTAGGTGACGATGCAAGCGACGATGGTTATTTGACTCCATCGCAGTATGATCCGCAGTAAGTTAAGGACTTGCTAGAAGTAGCAAGATGATGGTACTTACCAAATTTGGTACAGGTTTACGAATATCGTCCAATTGACATCTCCTATGATTCACGCAATTCCATCCCCTTCCACATCGCCCGCCCCGGGTCCTTCCTACTCACCTCATTCGGCGTACTCAATATCACCATATCCAACCCCCAATAATATCGAGCTTCCTGCTACTGCTATTACACAGTTTCTGGATTACAATGGGACAGGGTTGGGGTCAGACTCGATGTTTGGAAATGTGGAAGAAAATCCAGTGGCCCAAACTGATCTTCATCGATCAATCTCGTTTGATGACCTAATGTCGGAATTTCAAAAGTACGAGCAAGGCGTATCACCCCAGTTTCCTCAAACCGATCAACGAACCACTCTGTTGCAACAGCAATTTGGGCAGTCTGTCTTATTGGGCCACCCTACACCTCCGGATCAGTATGATCCATCATCTGAAGCCGGTTACATCCTTTCCTCGAAGACTACGTCGACCACTCTATCGACGACGCCCTCGTCATCGTCCCTTTTACAGGAACAAGTCAAGCGAGAGGAACTCGAGGTACCGTCGCCGCCACCCGAGCGACGAGGGTCGCCGGTACCTCCCAACCCAGACATGCCGCCATTACCAAAGCCGTCGCAGATGGCAGTCAAAACGCAGCGACAAACCTTGTACCAGTGTCCTTACCCAGATTGTGGAAAGAGTACGTGCTATCTGACCAAGTGGTGTGCATTGAAATGCTTGCATTAAATTTGATGCTCTACAACCATAGCATTCACGCGCCCGTACAATCTAAAATCCCACTACCGATCACATACGGGCGAAAGACCATTTGTGTGCGAGCACTGTCCCGCAACATTTTCTCGTAAACACGATCTAAAACGACATTCTAAACTACACGAGTACGTACGCAATATAGGATCGTTCGTTGCTATATATGCAACTTTACTAACAAACTATGTTCCAACAACACAGGGGCCTCAAACCGTACATGTGTATAGCCTGCCATAAGGCATTTGCACGAAGCGATGCCCTACGACGTCATTTGAAAGCGGGCGAGCCTGGAAAAGAAAGTCCGTGTTCTTTAAAGATTAAAAATGGACAGGTTGAGGGAGCTGGGGGGATCGCAGGGGTGCCACGGCTGGAAGATTTTCTGGACTCACTCGATAGAGAAGGAGCACCTGTTGAAAGTTGAAACACAAAAGCGTCAATGTCATAGAATATCAATTAGTTGATTTATGCTGTCACAACTTGTGCAGTGATCCTGTATTTCCGTTGCATTTTAAATTTTCATGATCATGATTGTATGTAAAATTGTAGCAGAAGGGAGCTGCTCGTGAAATTAACTTTTCATGCCAAAGCGAATTCGTAGTTGTTCAACACTCTAAGCACAGACGACTGCGCGCGTGTTACTTGACATGTGACATGCATCAAACCAAGCATTCAATGGGGTCAAAAATCTCCTTTCTTGCCGCTCAGCTCAACTTGGCAATCTTTGTGGCCCTACGCTTTTGCTTACACCATTTATTTTCCCTTTTCTCCCGTTCTCTCTCGCTTCGGACTTTTTGAATCTGTTTTTGTTTTCAACGTTTACCCTTCATCTGTGTTGACGTTCTGGGGAACGTGTGGACAGCCCCTCTCCTTGTTGTTGGGCGGCTTGTCTCGCGTCGGCGTTTGCTGTTCCCTCTCGTCATTACGTCTCTCTGTTCGCGTTTTGTTCGTTTCTCTTGCTCTCGTTGGGGTTCCATTTACAAGTTGGCTTGCTCGCTATGCTGAACTATTGCCTCTTTTAAAAGAGGGAATACCGTGCTCTCCCGTCTCTGTGTGTTTGCACACACAGTTCCTTATACTCGACATCTTAGAATTATCTGACTCTGTAATATCGTCTTAACACATGGCGGCCTCGGCCCTTGTATCAATGCGTTCGTCGTCATCCTCGTCCAACCAGGCGGCTGCGCCTGCTGCAGAGAGATCAAATGGCGTTGTGGGTGTTCAAGGCCCATTAGTGGAGAAGCGTCACTTTGCGGATCCTACACCGAGTATTTTGAGAAGAAGCCGTAATAGCCCTGAGGAAATGAAGCGTGGTTTAAGTGCTGGGAGTTCGTGTAATAGTACCTACACGAATGATGAAAGGATCAGGTACGGTGTAAGCAACGATTGGACCGGAATCCGTTAACAGGGGCGTTGAATGATGGGATGGTAGTCGGCTGTCGCCGTCAACCCGCTGTGAAGGCTAGAGTCCAAACTACAAATACACCTGCACACTGCGTGCTCACCACCATGCCGACTTTTCTAGTCCCACCGGCGATGGAGGACGCAAAGTACACTTTTTGGAGCTTCTTGGTCCTATAAAGAAATTTCTCGGCAGATCTCCCAGTAATACTGGCCATGCGAGAAATAGTAGCAACGGCCCAGGTGCTACTACCCCTGGTAATGGAACCGTTCCTGCAGCTCAACATCAGGTTGCTGCAGCATTCGCTCGTCCAGTAGCTATACGCGCCAATACTGCCCCAGTCAACAACTCTACCCCGTGTACACTGAAGGAGAAATACGGAAAGCCTTGCCAACTCCTGGGAAAGGGTGCCAATGGAAATTGCTGGCTGGTTCGTCGTCACACGGATCAAAAGGTGTTTGCAGTAAAAGAATTTAGGCGTCGGCGTGAAAATGAGTCTCAAAGGCAGTACATGAAAAAATTGACGAACGAGTATTGTATTGGAAGTCTTTTGGTAAGGGAGTTATTCGTGACTTACCTTGAAATTTTGATACTCAAATTCAACTTTCCTTAGCATCATCCTAATGTTGTAGAAACTTTGGATATTATATTCGAAAAGGGTCATTGCTACGAAGTGATGGAACTCTGTGAGGGCGGTGATCTTTTTGAAGCCATCTCCAGTCACACTATGACAACAGAAGAGTCGAATTGCATTTTTGCTCAACTAATGCAAGGCGTCGCGTACCTCCACTCGATCGGTGTCTGTCACCGCGATCTGAAGCCAGAGAATTGTCTTTTTGATTCTAATAACCACCTGAAAATCATCGATTTCGGGTCAGCGGACGTGGTCAAATCTCCTTTTGAAACTGAATGCCGGCGCTCAACTGGCCGATGTGGATCGGGCCCGTACATGGCTCCCGAAGAGTTCACTCAACCCTCCTACGACGGGCGCAAAGTAGACGTTTGGGCGTGTGCCATCATATACCTGGCTATGATGTTTCAACGGTTCCCTTGGCATAGTGCTAAAGGATCTGACGAGCACTACGCGGCGTATGTCGAAAACGGTGGACATTCAAAGTTCTTTGACCGATTACCCGATGGTCCTCGACAGATCTTGTCTAGAATGTTAGATCCTAATCCGGACCGACGTGCTACCATTGACGAGTGCTTGGAAGATGAGTGGGTGAAAAGCATTGTAGTTTGTGATGAATGTGTTACAAGGCATCAGCATGGAAGGGTTGCAAGGAATGGTGTAAAAATGAAATGAAGGACTTTAGGAAGAATAATCAAGTATAAATGTGCCAAATTTTTTTATAGACGTCCAAATATGTGCTACTAAACTGTCTTTTGAATGGACTCTGTGAGATATAATCCTAAATGCTCCCCATTTAATGGGCTGACCGGCGGGCAGTAACTAAACATCTACTTGATATTGACATTTGCAGCATGCAAATTGACACGTGGGTTCACCGCATTCCCGGGACATGTTCTGCTTAGCCAGAACCACGGCTTGACATTCTTATCGCGCACTTGCCCGCCGATAACGTCAATCGTTTGCAGCGACACAAAAGATTAAAAGCTTGCTTACCTACACAGTCAGATGGAATAAAGTTACGGTGAGAGTGTTTTCAACGTTACGGCTCGTCGTCCGCGATGCGCCGCCCACAGACCGAAAGCGACGTCGACGACGACAATGTGCCGATTATTATTCACAATGTTGCAGAATACGAGTGCGCAGAGGAGTCATCCAGCTCCTCAGATGATGAGCATTCAGATCAAGACGAGGATGATCTAAACGCATCCTCACCCCGCCGGCGTCGATTTCGACTCAATCCTGCCTCGACAAGTTATGCGTCCAGATCGACGGCATCTGCTGTCATTGGTTCATGGATGTCATCTTACGCTCGTTCGGCTGGATTTCTTGAAGAGGCTGCGGGACCTGTAAACAAACTACGGAACGTTGCTTCATTTGATTCTATTGGGAGCGAACCTCCTGAGGTCGCCTCCGTTGGACAGGTGGAGGATGCATTGGAACGAGAGCATCTGTTGACAGACTATGGCACTGTGGAGGGGGTAGAAGAAATTGATGCAAAGTAAGCAAAGATGAGAGATTTCAGATCTGACGTCTCACATTAATATGGATCTGCAAAGATTGCAGGAACACGAACATGTGATGGACGTAGGAACTGCGCCAATGTCGACTTTTGCTCAAACGGTTTTTAATGCAGTTAACGTCCTAATGTGAGTGCTTTGATTCTTGCTAGCATTCGGATCAAATGAACCTAAATGGAGGACCTCTGCAGGGGTATTGGAATCCTCTCCCTTCCGTTTGCCTTCCGCATAACCGGTTGGGTTGTCGGTGGCATTCTACTTACCTTATGTTGCCTCATGACCCATCACACCGCACGGCTTCTGGCAAAATGTTTAGACTACAGTTCTCCTCTACCGCAAATCAAAGTACCCGGTGAACAGCTCACTTTATTCCCATCGTTCCGCCGTCGACCAACAACATATGGTGATATCGGTGAACTAGCATATGGAAGCAGAGGCCGGAACTTCATTTCCGTGCTATTCTGTGTGGAGCTGATGGCTGCGTGTGTAGCTCTAGTTATCCTGATTTCCGATTCCATCACAGCGCTATTTCCTGAATGGCACCATGTCGTGGTGAAGAGCGTGGCTGTTGGGCTCATCATCCCCATGACATATCCAACATCGTTGCGATGGGCGAGCTACGGGAGTTTACTTGGCGTCGTAGCCTTGTCAAATCTGATGATCATTATCCTGTATGACGGGCTAACAACGGTAGAGACGCCGGGAAGCTTGATCCATCCTGCTGTTACGCGAATCTGGCCGGAAAATTGGGAGACAGTACCCTTGGCTATTGGATTGATCATGGCTGGTTTTTGCGGTAAGCTGATCGTGTTGCTGTCACGAATTTCTTTTTTCGATGACCGCTGATATTTGGTTATTTTCATGCGGTTTGCGAATACTTTTAGGTCACAGTGTTTTCCCAAATATATATCGAGACATGACCGAGCCTGAAAAATACAACAATATGCTAAATGTTTCCTATGTGGTTGCGACGATTATGTACATATTTATAGCTGCCTGTGGATATCTGATGTTTGGCGACTTTACGATGCCAGAGGTAGCTCTGAATACTTTAATTGCTTCCTTTACGGCTCTTATAATACTCTCTACCGTCTTAGATTACTCAAAACCTTCCCCAAGTTCCTTCGTACAACCATATCTTGACATCAGTTACGCTCTGGCTAACGGCGATCAACCCGCTGACAAAGTTCCCTCTCAATGTGAACCCCATCAACGTCCAGATAGGTAAGCCATGCCACCGCTTTGCTCACTACAACTTTACTTACTCATTAAGCAACATTCCAGAACACTCCCTCCATGCAGTCTTTCCTACGTACGTCCTCTATCCCCTCCCCATCCTTCACCGCGTTCTCCTTCGCTCGTTCACCTCCTTGCTCATCCTTATCATTGCGATTCTGTTTCCAACTTTCCATTCTATCATGTCTCTCATGGGGAGCTTGTTTGCCTTTTCGGTTTGTGTGGTATTTCCTGGTATGTGCTATCTAAAGTTGTTTGGACCTCTCCTGGGTGCCAAGGAGTGGGCTATGGAGATGGGGGTAGTCGCCATGGGTGTTGGGCTGGGCACTATCGGAACCATATGGGCATGTTTTGTTAAGTTTTAGATAAAAGGGGTCTTATCCTAGTTGTAGTTGGTTTATTCCCATATCACTTTCCACATAACACTATATAGTATCTAGTATCTACACCTGGATGATATCACACTTTGCCAAACTCACCCAAGTCTTCCCAATGTAAGTATACCCTATTACACGCTCATTGACGCCTTCTTGCTCGGGTCAGTGCCCTGCCTCTTGTTACCACCTCAGCTAATACCTATGAACGCATATGTTAACTTTCAACTCGTCTCCGATGCCACCCCCGTGATTTAAGGTCTGTCTCCAGGTCCCGTGATTAATCCGATCATCCTGACGTCATTGCCATCACTAGCTCTTATAAGCCCCGCATCTCCCAAAAAAATCCCTCATTCAAAAGATAATATCTCTGAGAGATTTAACATTTCTGATAAGACGCAAATCTTATTTTATCTTCAAAGCAAGCAAACGAAACAAAATGTCTTCCCAATCAGCACCAATTGTGGTAAGTCCAGGCTTATCCTGGGTTGCCTGATAAGACAGGCATTAAATATGATCCCCTAGAACGAACGCGACCGCCAACTTGCCGCCGGCCACGTATTCGAGAACGCTGACTCGAGCTCTACGCAATCCTCTGTGCCCACCTTCACGAGCGCATCCACCACAGCAAGCTCAACATACCAATCCGCAAAGGACACAGCCACGCATGCATATCAATCTGCAAAGGACATGGCTAATACTGCGTATCAAAGTGTAAAGGATGCTGTTGCAGGGAATAATGAGGCAGATCCGGATGATGAAATTGGTGTACTTTGATGGGTATCTTTAGGTTGGATTTTTGTAAATATATGGACACCTGAAAAATAAGTTATCGTTAGAGAGATATTTCTACGCAGAGGCGGAGAGTGCCCAAGTTGACAATGACGAACCTCACAATGTCAACTATGCGGCTACAGTGCATAAAGATTGCCTTCATCACTGGAAGGAATGCCAAATGCTAACTGAGTTTGTATCCGGAAAGCTAAAGGTGTTGCGCATGAAGTAAGTAACTTGGAATTCATGTGTGCTTTGCAAACTATAACATGTGAAGGTTGTCACTTGTCGACAAACGAGCATCCAAGCTTATCAATCAGGAAGTTCAAATTGAGGTTGGAATGATATTCTTCGTGATATATTTTCAATCATATATGTACAGATCTGTGAAACTACTCATACCAATCCTCCCCATCATCATCGCCCGAGTTCACCTTCCCACTTTCGTTATCCTGTTGTTCAGTTGCAAAATTGTTCTCCAAAGTGGTTACAGTGCCTTGAGCTTCAGAAGCGGGTAGTGGAACCAGATCAAAACTATAAGTCGGAGAAATTAGAAAACGACAAAGAAACAGTAATGGGATGAAAAGGAACTCACCCTCCGTTGTTTGTTGAAACTGTTGAAGAGGCCGGAGTTCCCGGCGTCATAGTCGTCGAACCTGCTGCGACCAAAGCGGTTGAAGCGGTTGTTGGAGCGGTTACCGCCGAAGAAGCCGCGGTTCCCAAGGGATCCGCCGGCGTAGGAGTTGTACCCGCGTCCGAATCCTCTCTGGAGGTCGTCCTGTTCAAAAAGGTCGGCGAAGATGTCCTGGTAGCCACGCCTGTTGCGTCCGCCGAAGAAGTTTCCCCGCCTGCCCTCCTGCCCGAACTGCTCAAAGAGGTCGGCAATGTCGTTGTGGCCGAATCTTCCCCCGTTGTTTCGGCGGCGGTTTCCTTGCCCTTCGAAGAGGTCGCGAAGGATTTCTTGGACATTGTCATTCCTGTGGAAGCGGTCGCCCGACCTGCCGTAGGAGTTGAATCCGGAGGAGATCCCTCCGAAGCCGCCGAGAAAGTCCCGAAAGCGCTGGTCGCGATAGCCACCTTCTTCGTCGTTCTCTTGGTTTCGAAAATATTGACGCAATATTTGGAGAATGTTCGAATTACGGCCACGGTAGATATCCTGGTCGTCATCGTAGAAGGACCTGTTGCCGTCATCGTTGACCAAACGGAAGATCTCCCTAACAATGTCGTGTTCGCCGAAACGACGCCGAGAGTTCGAGTCGTAACCGTTGAAGAGACGTTGAATCACTTGGTACAAGTCCACTTGGCGACCTCCACGGTTATAGTTGTTCAGCAGGTAATCAAGAATGTCCAGTTCAAAGCGTCCATGGCGAGAGTTGTCACCATCGAGGTTGCGAATCAACCTGTTGATAATCACAAGGGCAACATCGTTGAGCCTTTGGTCCTGATCGTAGCCACCACGCTGGTTTCGACCGCGGAGCAGCTGGTGGAGCAGCTGCTGAATATTGCCGCCCTGGCTTCCACGGAAGCTGTTTCGGTCGCCGCCGACAAGCTGATTGACAATGTACTCGAGAACGTGGGGCCTGTTGCCAAAATCTCTTCCGTAACGATCATTGCCGCAGAGTTGCTCGACAATGTCCTCAAGATCGTTGTTCAGACCGTAACGGCCGCGGTTACCAAAGATCTAGAGCAGATTAGTTGACTTTAAAGAAAACAGGTAGGTAATTCAACAGAAAGGCGCATACCTCACCGACCACATCGTTGTCGTACCGGTTGTTTCCCCAGCCATCTGCCCCCTGGCGACCGTAAGAACCAAGCACAAGATCAATCAACTGGTCAACGTCATTGCCTCCCCGACGACGGTTGGAAAAGTCATTGCGGAAACCCCCGCCGAGACCGCCGAGACCGCCTTGATAGTTCTGAACCAGACGCGATGTTAAATTTTAATGACATGCCATCGTGTATAAACAAACGCACCTGATGCTCTTGAATGGCGTCCAAGATGTCGTTAACAAGTTCATTGCGCCTGACGTCTTCAATTTGCTCCAACACATCGAAAAGCTGGTTGCGGCGGAACGAGTTCGAAGCAGCGGACATTTTGAATTGATAGAGACAAGTGAAAGAAAGGTTTGTTTTGATGGTACTTCAACTCCAAGACAAGCTGTGTTGCTGGGAGGATGATGTTTGGGAAAGACGAAATCCTCGCTGCTTTTATAGCAAAAAAGAGCTCGTTCACCACTGTGTAGACTTGTGATCTTTTGGTTTTTCTTTTTGGTTTTCTTTTTTTTTCGTTTTTTTGTATTCATACTTGGTCATTCGGAACATCGATGTTGCTTCGCGTGCATCTCCCGTACAATGGCGAGCTTAACGCTACCTTGGCATGTGCAGTTGATGTCAACTCCAGACGTCTGTTGGAGAACAGGCAGCAAGGACATTACCTGTCGGCGACATCTCCTTCCTGTGCTTTTCTGCTGGGTCACCCCAATGTATCGAAAGAACGTATTGCGGCTCGTCCTATCGCGTGCTAGGGACTGATCTTACTTTTCTTGTTTTCTTTTAGTGGCTGGCTTCCTGTAATGGTGCCAGCATGTATCCAGCTTGCCTGAAATGGCACGCCACCTCCACAGTAGTTTTGACACGTCCCGTCGGGAAATGTTTAGCAATAAGATCTTTTTCGTTTGATGAACGCAAGGAGATGGTAGCCTTGATCGATGAGAATGCCATTCCATCTTTTTTGTTTTTTCTGCTTTGCATTAGCAAGGTATCACGATGCAACCGCAAGTTGTTTTCACTCAAGCCCTTGCGTGGCAGTGTACTGGGAGACGACGTGCTGTCACGTTCCAGCACGGGGCCGTTGGCTCTCCCGCTCCGTCTCCCCTTGCTTTACAAGTACACGTTAACACTCAACACGAGAAAATTAACTGACGGGTTTATCCATCAACTAGACAGGCACGACCGTATTCTATATACACAAAAATAGATATATACTATACATGCATCCCGCCACAATTTCAAGGAGCTACAACCTAAAACGAAAATACATGCCGAGTATTCAACAGTCACCAAGCTCATGTTCACGCGGTCCCTCCCATGACACCGAAACCGAATACGCAATCATTAACTACCATGCAACTCGCCGGCCCTGCCAGTACCTCCAATTCCTGCATCATACCTAGATGGAAGATTCTTACAGAGCCATCCCCATCCCATTAGCGTCTACCACAGGTGGCGGATGTATGTTTCGACATGCATCGCCAAATCTGCAGCGGCCCTGCAGAAAGAACGTGCATATTTGTCCTCCTTGTGGAGGTGGGCGAGGGCGAAATTGAGGTGCGTTTGTTGTAGAGGGTCCGGAGGCTTGGCTGGGATGTTGGGTGTACATCATATGTGGTGGCAAGGCTTGGTAGTACGGTGGCATCGGCGGAGGGAAGACGTACGGGTTAAACAGATGCCGCGCCGGGGGTGGTGTCATTGAGATGGCAACTGCGTCGAGATGGGGCGGCGGTGCTGGGATTGATTCTGGAAAAACACGTGCTTGTATGAGCGGATGCACGAGAGGACCTTATTGGACACGCTTACTTACCCAAATTCCAGCTTTTGATCGCACCTTCAGCATCAGCAGTAAAGAGTTTGTCATTGACGTTCACCAACGCATTGATGCTGAGCCGATGGGCTTTCAAATATCCTTCGGCGGTGCCAGTGACCAAATCCCATACTCTCACCGTCCCGTCCCAAGCTCCACTGATGAGTTTGCCCTCATGTGCATCTGCCTCTGCTTGACCATTCAAAGGCCCACTGTCATGACTTTCGCTGTCTGAGACTGGAGGCGGAACAACAGCCAAAGCAGATACAAATGCCTCGTGCCCCTCGAATCTCCGCAACAACTGGCCAGTAGGAACATCCCATTCCAGAATTCTCCGATCATTCCCACTAGAGTAGCACTTTTCATCCAGTAAAACTATTGATGTCACCTCCGCTGCATGGCCATCAAAAAACCCCATACCTGTTCCCGTATCCAAATTGTACAACGAGATAGCCCCATCGGTCATACCTACAAACAGCCGCACCCCATCTCCAACCATACATCCCACTGTGCCCCCAATCTGTTGGTCGCGAGGCTCCATCTCTCCTGTAAGGACTCCAGTCGAAACGTCCCATTCGCATACTACACGGCTGTACCCGCCACCCGAGTAGAGTCGAAGCGTCGCTGGTTCATAGTACAGAGCATTGGCAGATGGACAGGATAGGACGAACGCGCATACACCCGTTTCCAGAGACCATATTCTAACTGTGTCATCCCAAGAGCCACTGAAGAGATAGAATGGCCCGGCCACTAAAGCCCGAATCCAACCGGTATGTCCCTTGAATGTGCGCAAAAGGGCTAAACTGCTAATGTCCCATTCCTTTGAAGTACTAGTCATTAGGTGAAGGCGGTTAGATCAACAACTGCATCGAGGATCAACATACTCTGATATCTTTGTCCTTTCCAGCGCTGTACAATTTATCTTCCCAGACACATAAAGCCGAGACAGAAGTTGAGTGGCTGGGCGTCAGCACAGTCGCTCCATCGTTGATAGCCCCTTGTGCAGCCATGTGAGACTGCTACTTCGCAGTGGAAACGTAATTAGAGGCCGGTCGCGAGCGCCCACCAGCGCGCCAGTTCCGCCGCCTAAGTCCCTATTGAGGTAGCACATCGCACGTGATTGTTTAGTCTTATGATAACTGTTTGCGTTTGCGTCCAATTACAAGCGGCTTCCTTAGCTCAGTTGGGAGAGCGTTAGACTGAAGATCTAAAGGTCTCGTGTTCAATCCACGAAGGGAGCATCAGCTTGAATTAAACGTGCTTTTTTCCATCATGAATGGAATCAATTTATCTTTTCTTGTGAACAGCTTCAGCGCTATTTTTAATTAGGGCTTTACATATTTCTCAAATAACATTCGGATGTCGACAATTGCTGGATAGAGTTATCACGGATCCGGTTTCCATTCTCATTTTATAACCATGTGCACAATGCCTGAAAAATGTGGAAACCTTCAAAAGTTCATTTCTGGAACGCACCTTCATCATGACAACAGAGAGTAAGTATGGAGGAGATTCTCGGACTGGCAAGATGGCACCGCCATGAGATAACAGTATTTGCATGCCCCAGAACCACAAAGACTCTACAACGTAAGCGAGAAAGGGCAGATTAAGGTAACAGAACCCTTTAAAAGGATGACCGTGTGTATATGAGCAATGAGGCGTTGTCTGGCGCTTATCCGGATCAGAGGACCCAGCGATGTGGGCTTGGGAATTTCGATATGGGAGGGCGCCCAGGGTGGACAGGGTTGAGGCGGCGGATTAAGGGATTAGGGAAGCTAACATAGGGTGGTTTAAGGTATTTACTGTTCCCTTCGTGGCGTTTACTATCAAGCGACTTGGTTATTGTGTATCAACTCCCCATGGCTATTTACATGTCTCTAGAGGTTTTCGTTCTGATATCCCAAGTCGGTTCGAAGACATACTAGAACCGATAAACCATCATTTTGCAATGGGAGAGCGTCTCATATTCAAAGATTCCACATTACAGATAAGGTAAGGGTGATGAGACCGTTGTAACAAAGTTAGTGAAACAATTCCTGGGGCTTGCTTGAGCACGAATTCGACATTCTAACAAAACAGATATACAGTCCCGAATTATTTTGTATATCTCAAGCATATCATTCATTTCATGGATATTCCATCATCTGACTAAAAAGTGTGAATATCTTCAATCAGTTTTCAAAATGTGTTTTTTGTGCCAAAAGTGTGTTCAATTCCACCAAGGGCCCTCAACGAATTCTCATTTTACCGGATTTCTAGAGGTACAATTCGAATGTCATGGTATTAGCCGTGTGTGACAGAGCTGCTCCCATGGGAGCGCAGCAGCAGTAGACGCAACTGCAGACACTCGTAAAACCTTAAAAAAGGAATTCTGGTTATTATTAATGCGTGCCAGCGGTATTGTATACACAACAGACGAGTTGTCTACCTCACCGGTTCCGCTTTCGGTCTCATGAAAATGTGTATTGCCGAATCTAATATTGCCGTCCCCACCTTTTCTAATAAACAAATGACAATTGGACAAAAGATTACAGCAAGGGGACGTTGAAAATTGAAACATCGAGAAACGTTTTCATTAGTTCAAAGGTGATGGCGGCGTCCCCACTGTTGTCGAGAAGCTTTGTATCTCATCCATGGCCGTGTGCAAACAACCGATGCAATCGATGGGTGGGTGGGACGGAAAATTAGGTTCCGATTCCATTCAGAAGGTACTCCAACGTCAGCATACCCACAAACCATAAGCTTGTCGGGCAACTTTGGCCGCCTTGGTATCGAAAATGCCTCTGGGGGGGGGCATGGTACGTTTGGTTCCTTCGGGCTCGGACTTGGAGTTGAGAAATCTTTGGGCGTTCGTAGGTGATGAGACAAGATTGGTAATTTCAGGTAAACCTCGGTTCCAGCTTTTTGAATACCAGGCAAAAAGTCTTCCTTCTAGTGGGCCAAGTCATAGAACCAAACACTGATGGCACCCATGTCTCGTAGTAGTCGATCTCAACAAGAGCAACGCTGCGAAGACTGCATCTCACTACCTGGCTATGACTTGTTTCCTGGCCACACCCACTGGCAGCATTCCAAAGTTCATGTGACCTTGAATGCTGCGTACGACTATGGGTTTGTTGTCCTAGAGTATATAATCACCTTCGAATGCACGTAGCCATTTCCTAATAGACACCAACGTATGACGGCGAATATTATGAAATATGAGGAGGGGACAGAATGCAGGGAACTTGATCGCCGAAGCCCTGAACGCCAGATCTGCAGAAACCTGAACTAGAAGGCAACATTACACACTAACACTATCTCTAAGGGTCTTGACCGCCCGAAACCACTGGTATTAGAACACTTTCTGTCAGGAAGGCGAGGATCAATAATAGAATGCGCGAGCGTATCACCAACAAAGGGAGGATATTTGTTTGATTGGTACTGGACACATGCTCTGGAGGAAACCATTCAAGAAACGACGGAATGTTTTGAAGCCCTTTGTCCTTGATAATCGCTGACAAGCCAAGGTGTTGCCACCAAATATTCGATCCTTCGGACGGAGCCTGTCATTGTGTCATCCTGTATAACAATGGAGCCAACCCAGCATACCCAGGAAACGGGGACTCCAAATTCATGGGAAAATGATGCGGGTTTGGATCAGGAAGTCATAATCATGGGAATAAGCATCGAAAAATCTCTAGTGCGTATTTGACTAGTATTAGAAAATCTATGAGGATTTTGTTAGATCTAAGACCTTTGCGGGCTCTACAGACTCGCCAAACTTTCTTAAAGCTTGCCCTTCGCAGCCTCCAAATAAAGTCCAAAACAGGATACTATGCTAACCATCCAAATCAACGATCTCAATCCAGCGACGATTGAGTTTGAATTCTTGATGTACACAAAATTGTAAAAGAACCGAGCGGTAAGGAAAACAGCACTATACTTGTTGAGAGTGCTGTTTGGCAACCCAGCAAAATTGCCGGCCAACTGGATAGGGAGTGGAAAGGTTTAGATACTGGTCCGGGCTGGGCGTAAAAGGATTACGCACCACTGCCCCAGCGAATATGGGGAAGATTTCGAGCCCATTGTGGTGTGCCGCGTCCGCCCGTTTGGCCATCTCATACGACTGAATGCAAAACAACGCCATGTGATTGGTGCTGTCAGGGCCACAAATCCTTCCCAGAATTGAATGATCTTACCGCCTTTGTCATGCGCGATTGCACCTTCTCGAGCTGTGATCTAGGGTTGACACTGATCCGCTTGGTTAGGCATTTTTTTTCTTGAAACGAATCTGAAAAAATGGATATTCACTTGTTGTATTTTCCCAGAGACTTGGTGATTATAGCGCCCCTACAAGTGAGTCAGCATTGTGGAATCTCCTGGCAAGGGCTCCGTGTACACATACTTGACCACATGAGGAACGTACGCCAGGACAATGGCGACGGGAAGCCCGTACAGCGAATAATTCTTGTCGTCCATCACGTATTTGTGAAAAGAAAGAAGCGTTTGAGTCTTGGCAGTCAGGTTTTTATGTGAGAATCGGAGGCGGAAATACAGATCGGAGATTGTGTGACAGTTGAACCGGGTGTGTGTGACAATGACAAAGCCTTGGTAAGCACTCAAGCGCTACATGTATCCAGATCATTATCCTCACTCTTTCACCTCTTTCTCATCCTTTATGACAATGCCCTTTTTCCATGCACCTCAGTTCGGGACAGACAGGACACGTGTCCCCCTTGGTTGACACGGAGCTTGACAACCAGTCCGACGTTCGTTTCTCAGCCACGTCGTTTTCAATGGACATTGTCCGTACGTTTTGGTAAATGGGACGCGCTCATTTTTCAGACGAATAATACAGACATTTACAATTTTGAGACATGTCTTACGAGGTGCTTGCTGCAAAGGTTGGTCAGACTGGTGCGCAGGCCACAATTTATTTGAAATTTGTCAAACAAAAATCCACAACCCCCGTGGGCCAAAAGTTGAAAATGGCGTTACAATGATAATAAACGATAGAGTAATGGCGAAGCATTGCTTGCTTTTGTTCGGGCCCCCCTTGTGTTTCGGCCAACGCGCGTTCGTCTCACTCCGATCAAAGCTTAGTTTATTTTGGAGCTCCGAGAATGCGCCGCCTCCCCGCAACACTGATTCCAGGTCGCAGGAACAATGGGCACGCGTCCTTGCGGCCACGATCAAACTCCTTTCTGTAGCATGTCATTTATCGTGTTTGTCGGGAAGACTGGGACCAGGTACTGTCCGTGGGCTCGGATCATCACCATGCAGAGTCTGGAATGTGAGTAAGGGTACGCACAGATGACGCACGAAAAGGACGCACAAAAAAAGGGCAGTTGAGAAGGTAGGTGAAGAATTTGTTGTCCGCCGACGAGGTGGAACATCTTACCAAACTCGGGCCTTTGTTTACTTGGCAACGCTGGAAACTCTTTTCCTCCTCCCATCTCTGCCCTCCCTTTTCCACGCCGTTTTTTTCCCCTCGCCGATCCAGCTTAACCGTGAAATCTATTGTACACTGTCCCCGAACCCCCCGGGCATATAAGTATCCACGAAAAATCCCACTGCTCAACATCCGTGGCTCCGCTATTTTCCAACCCCATCTGTGCCAATCCACCCACCCCCTCCTCTTGCCCCATACGGCCTCACGGATGACTTGATTTTGAGACCGCAACATTCGTCACGCGTCGATAAGGCCCATTTTTCTGCGCCAGATCCGTCTTTCGGCATTGTTTGAAAAAAAATAAAATAAAAAAAAAACGTACGTATTTTTGCGTGTCACCGGTGAGTGACTTTGGGAGGCGGAGCTTTCATGGAGAGGCTTTCTATCCTACCACCCCCCACAAAGCATTCCTTTTGCAAAGGGGCTTTCGCCTGCTGCTGGCCACACGGCTTCCAGGGTTACTTTTGTATAACATCGGGGGGAAGATAAATCGTTAGCGGCTGCACTGAACGCATCTCTGCGTTTTTTTTATTTTAATAAGCGTCTACTTTTTTAGTGTCTCATCTCCGAGATCTATTTTCCGCTCGTTGGTGCACTGCCGCTATCGTGGAACTATCCATGAAGATACCTGATTGGACAGTTCTTATTGGCGGGCAGTAAACAATAAAATAACCAGAGCAAGCCATGTCGAATCCACCCCTATCGGAAGAGGATGACCGACAACAACCGGATGGTGTGCAGCACGATCACACCAGATCGTACACTCCAGACCATGGTAGCCCACCTCGAGCGCCCGTGACATCCATGGACGACTACAGCAGACCGTCGGATCAAACTGCAAACCGTTCCCCGAAACCCGACGCTGCTCTCCGCGGACATGCCAACCCTTTGGAACTTTCTGCTGCGCCGGTAGCTGGATCAGATCTTACGCGCATCGTACGTGAAGCTAGTTTACCAAAAGGTGAGCTGCTGCCAAAGAGAGCGTGTTATGCCAATAGTGGCGACTGGCACTTTTTTTTTTCTACATGCAACATGGGTCATCCTTGTTCATAGTGCCAGCATGTGCTGATGCAAAGCGGCCTACATAGATATTATGGACAAGTTTATTTGTCTAGTTCCAACCAATCCTCTTTTTGTAGACTCGTCAACAATCCCAACCACAAACGGTATTTCCACATCACATCCTCGTCCCCAGTCACCGGAACTCAGCATCGAGACTCGAGTGCCACGTAATCCTCACGACGTTGTTTCTCCCACATCCGTTTCATCAGCGTCGTCGCTGTCTTCCTTGTCGCATCAGGCGCATCATGCTCCGCAATCAGATATTACCTCGGGCGGTTCTGCATCCGCCTCATTTTACCCATCCAGGTGGCAACCTTATCCATCCAACTCTAACTCTAATACTACAGCATCCGCTAGACCTTCAAGTAATGAGGCCCCGCCTACGGGCGGCGATTCTGTCTCAGCCGATGAGGCCGCGCAGTACCCGAAACGAAAAGTTTCCGAGAAACGTGCGCAACAGAATCGTGCCGCCCAGCGTGCTTTCAGACAACGTAAAGAACAATACCTTAGAGATCTTGAAACCCGCGCTCAGTCGTGGGAAGATCGAGCCAAGTATCTAGAACCTTTTGAAAAACGCTGCCGTGATTTCCAAGACGCTTTAGAGAGGGCTGCTTTTGAGAGAGATGGTTTGCTGAGGGAAAGAGACTATTGGTATCATCAATGCGAAGAGCTACGGCATAGCGTCTACAAAATGGGAGCGGAATTGGATCTGTTGAAGGGCGAATCAGGCCGACCTCCGCCTTCGTTACCTGTCGGAGGTGAAATGAATACACCTGTGATCGGAGGAAACCCTGGTGCACCATCTGCTGCCCTGCAAAGAACTCCTCAACAATCTGGTTTAAATCGTGATCCTCCGTTGCCCGTCGCTCGTCCTGCGTCTCCAATTCCTCCGATGCGATATCCACCTTCCGCTCCGGTGGAATACTCACCACAGCAAGAATATTCATATCGCTCACAGCAGTCGGCCAATCCCAGCCTTCACTCTTCCTCACGTACCTCAACGTTTTCAGGACAACCACCTTATCCTCCTCCACGCCTGAAATCACCCGAGGCACGGCGATCCCGGAGTGATCCAGTGTATACGCATCATCCATCAGCGGAACTTGGGAACAACAGCTACTCAAGTGCGTTTCGTCCGTATGGGGCCTCGCGACCTCCGACGTCCTTTCAACGGCCACCCGGTTCCCCACCGAGTCCCCGCATGAGCTCTTCGGCTGTGATAGGCTCACCACCGAGAGCCTTCAGCGGGCGGACGCCAGATCTTGGCCGACCCGGCCACTCTCATCAGCAACATCCTCATCCATACAATACGTATTTTTATCAAGAGCAAAGACATCCTCCGCCCCCGCCAGTGACAACATCTGCGGCGCCTTCGTATTATCCCGGACCAAGACATGATTCTGGGTCCTATGGACATCCGTTAGGTCCACCTGTTGGAAACTTGACACTTCCTGGGGCGAGAGATATAGAGCGGGGAGGTCTACGTGCGCTTAGCACTCGTTACTCGTCATCGACTTCACCTCCGTTGCAGCGGGTGCGAGAAGGGAACTGATACGAGCAACATGACTCTCTACCAGAAAAGAGAAAATGTTAATTTGTGATAAGACTAGATGGGCTCCACAAAACCTTTTGTTTTTTTTTTTTTTTTGCAATCCCGATGTGCCACCTGCTTGCTCAGGGTGTCCTCTTCGCCTCGCCAGCTGGCATGGCTTGGAAAGACGTGGTGAAAAGATATACCCTTTTTTGTCTACTTGAGTATGTAAGATTGGCGTGAGCGAGAGGGAAGGCGCCTGAGGGATCTCTTTGGACATGATGAGCAGTTGTCGTGTGTTTCTTTCTATAAACCGCTTTCGCTTTTTCTTTTGTTTTTTGTTCGTTGGATGGCCTGACTCCACACTTTTAAGGGGGGGAAATGCAAAAAGAGAGAGAATAGAAGCGACCAGTCTTTTTTATAAAGCTTTTTGTTGCGTCATACATTGGAGCAAGTCCAAAAGTTGGGTTGAGACGCGTTCTCTCATACATGTAGAACTTGTACGTTGACGGAATCGCAAGTTTCTCTGACACACACACGCGTTGCAACTCCTCTCTCTCGTTTGTTTGTTCGGGGGAGGGTTTTATCCTTCAACTTTTTGTTAACGATGGAGCAAGTTGGGGGGGGGGGGGAAGGTTCGCCAGCCGTTTAAAAAGTAAAGGCGTTGTAATAACGGGCGTTTTGCTTGTTGGTGGAGGGAAACTTTGTGACTTCCGATCCTATAATGCAAAAAAATAAAACCTGGGCGTTAACGTCAAGACTGAACGCTTTCTCATCCACGAATGATAACTGCACATTGTAGACCTTGTCTCCACGATTCATATGTCCTTTTTTGTCTCCCAGGTTGAGAAAAACTTGTCCATGACTTGCAAAACTCAGCAAATTGGGAAAAGCATTGCCCCCAACAAGGTCTTTAGAAAATGGGATGGGTCTGATGTTGACTACTTAAGTATCGTTGCTTTTGGCAAAATACGAGGGGGGTGGGATCACTGACAGTATATAACCATTTTATACGGTTACTTTTGATCCTCCAGTGATTAATAAATAAAAAACACACACACCCTGAATGTGCAGCAGGCAACAAACAGGAAACGGCAAGGGAAAAAAACCCAAAAATTCATCAAGCGGGTTGCGAAATACATTAATGAATAAGAAAACGTCATCTTGAGTCCGAACCCTTCGGGGTGTCTTTTGGGGAAGCTCCGGTTTTCCGTGGCCATGTGAAGGGGACAGTTTGGCGTCTTGCCCTCACCGCATTCTTTTAACGGGACAGTCTCAGCCATCCCCCTCCCTCCCTCCCGACATCGCGTGTTTTTATTGGGGCAGCTTAAAAGGTACGCGCTGATATGTCCGCGGACCCGAACGCGACTGCAGAGCATCATTCCACCCCTTTGTGATTCACTCTTGAGTACTGGCCTTTGCCGTCGTCGGCCTTCTTACCTGTTTCCACCGTATAGTAAATCGATCAGCAAACTGCGTATCGGCCTCGATCTAAACCACGATCGACCGGGCTGATTTTTTGATTCCATTAGACGCTCCGTGTCCGGTGGCAAAAAGCCGTCTTGTTGCACTGGATAACGACAACAATGGACCAACTCCAGGGCCTGAGAATGTCACTCCTCCTCGTGGGCTGATGTGGATGGCACAAGCTCGATAGGGGGAGGACAGGGACACAGCGAATCATTACAATCAAAAACAAAGGACCATGGGGCTGAAAGCCAGTCAAACATGAAAATTGTATTCAGTTTACGACCCACTACCACCAAATGCGCCCCAATTGGATCCCCATTCGGGTGGGAACGACATGTCTGGTATGTTGGATGGAAGTTGGCCACTGAAAGATTTCCAATTCTGGAACAGGAAAAGAGTAAATACACGCATACACGCATACAGAGGCCAGGAGGCAGCCTACAATTCCTACCAACCTTATGATCGAGTCTTCGAAAGTCATCCACGAGTGCCAGTTGAAGAAGATACTTTGTGAGAGGAAACAGGGTTCGATCTTTGTGGCGATTGATGGGCGCGTTTTTGAACGCAGAAATCTTCAAGCCCTATGGCCACCAACATGTTAAAACATTTCCACAAACTAGTCAAGGTGAACACACTGTCCCAACATACGCTTTGAGGATTCATTGCAAAGTTTCGGCTGACATCGTCAATGTGAATGGTATCTGCCATATACGATCGTGAGGTGGATCTTTATCTCCGTTCGGACGGCGACAACCACCTACTCGCTGCACTGTATCGGTCCGGGAATTTGGTCCAGATAATGTCCAACGCCTTGACTTCATGCTTTACGGGCTTGCCGTCAACCCGCCTCGTCGTACTAGTGATACTGAACATGGAAGTGCGATCCATAACTGCCAGATCATTGACGATGATCAGCATCCAATTAGTACGAAAAACAACCATTCCTCATCCTACCGAAGGCTATCCGATAACTAGAGTGCGTCAAGATACCCAACTCCGTGATTTTCATTTCTAGCCACTGCAGGAAAACCAGTTATCAGCAGAGTAACGAAACGGAATATGACTATGAAACATACCTTCCAAGAGGTTTGACTCCATATGCAAATATCATAATATGCATATACCGCCGTCAACATTTCATGTAGTCCCGGACGGGCCAGTTCTGATATGTGTCCCGCAGTAGATTTGCAGTCTGAAGGGAGTCAGAATGCCCATAAGATGTTTTCAGCACAATGGCTGCTCACGATACTGTAATGCTCACCAAACAATGTGTAGTCTAGGTGGCGAGATATTGGTAAGCACAATGAACTGAGAACACAGCAGTGCTGAATAGAACAGTAGACTTCACTGTACCTAGGTCCAGCACCAACATCTTCTTTCCTATAATCAGTCCTGTCGTGAATACTTATGCCCTAGGTTTTCAACTAAACATTAACTCGTTAAAACCGCTTACCTGCCCTTAAATCGTTAAACACAGTGATTTTTGTCTGCGGATATGTAAGGTGCATGAAGCGACCAATAAAACCCTCATGGATCACGAACCTTATCTATGTATTCTCGCAGCTTCCTTCGATTGCGCTCATCATTCCGATACCGATCATCACTCGGCATGTAATCAAGAAAATCAAAATCAAGGTCCTAAAGAAACGCATCATCATATTAGGATCATGAATCCTGACATTGTCACATAATGTTACGGGTTACATACATTTACGACCTCTGGTAATTCCGCGATCGCAGGCTCCTGCAGAATCTTCTGCTCCACTAGCAATATATGAATAAAATAAATCTAGAACAAAAAATGATTTGCTGTATACCTGTCCCGATCATCATGAAAGCATGGTCTGCCTTCAGCCCCAACGAGTCCAATACCACATCATCATTCGGTAGCTTCCCCTTGACGAATCCAATGAGTTTTTGGCGCAATGGCTGCACTTGGGTAACTTCAGCTAATTGCCGCTTGAGATCACCAATTGTTGAGGTGGCAGGTAGTAATATCGGGTACTTTTGCCTGTTCGAGCCCGTGAACCAAGGAGTATTCAAATGGTGTACCACATTACCTCAATGACTTACCCATTCCATGCTGCTGTCAGGGATATGTGAACTTGAGACTGTTTTTCTTGTCCGTCCTCTGTGTTGTCTACTACGATGGCCTCCTCTTGAACTCGCACCAACGTTTCTTCAGCGGACATGCTTGTGCTAGCAGATCGCTTGAGAACCCCAGTACTTGGTTCCTGCTCGCCTGGAGTAGTCGATCTCATTTCTGTAATGTCCTGAACCATGATTCCAAATATAACTATATGGAAAGAAATGCTCTTTTCTTTGCACTGTCAATTGAAAATGAGGCTGTTCCTGGGTTGAAGCTGTTGGCGATCCGTTTGGTGGATGACGATGGAGCGCGACGAGCACGTGATATGTCATTCGACCTGAAATGGCAAATGTGTGTGAGTGTGAATTGAACAAAAGGCAAATACAAAAGATGCAGGTTACAGTTAACATTATATCTATGGAAGCACTTTTCTATACAGTCAAAGTTTTTTGTTTTCACTACATCTAGAACAGTCACCCTGTACATAAATCGGTAATATTGCGAAAGATTCACTGATAACTACATTGAGGAAAAGAGGGCACTTTAGTAACATCTGAAGTCTTCGGCTATGCAACAGCTGTACACGCCCCATTCCACTTTACAGCAGTTTTTGGTGAGATATGAAAGACGTTCACAGTAACACTGCTGACACAGGCGCAGTCGGCGGCATTCACGATTGTAGCGGCGACTCAAAGACGATATTTGCAAAAAGCTTGACCATGGTGTTTGATCTCAAGGTGTTGCGTCGGATGCAGAGGATTGTTTGGTCTGAAGATGTTGAAAGACGATATCGTGCTGGAATGAACTATAACTGGCTCGCCTTTGATATTTAGTAGGCAATAGTGTGAACCGGGGCGTGCAACACACTCACTGAAGACCCTGAAAAATAACAAAAGTCAGTCAATTTTTGGAGTCAAGTGCGTTCGGGTTCGCATTGGGCCTCGGGTTAGGGTGGCCGGGCATGACTTGCTAAAACGTCCGTCATGGAGATATAGTGGAGAGTGACATTGAGCTATGGCGAGGGACATGCAGAAAACACGAGTGCGATCGTACAGAGGGAGGAAAGTTTGATAGACGCATGGAGGGAGAGAGACGACAATGAGCTATAGCGAGTGGTTTTATTTGTATTTGTGGAAGCACTTTTCTATACGCTATGTGAACACAAAAGCCTTTACAAAGTATTTTCAAGCAAGTATCGGATATGCCATCGGTTTCCGGTCATGTCAGACCCACGGGGATTTTCTATTTTCAAAATTTGGGCACTCCAGGTTGTGTTGGGTTGAAGCGCAACTGAAATGCAACAGCCCGGCATGCCCAAGAGAGGACATGATGCATCAATACAATGACAGTCTTTTTTTAAATTTATCATTTCTACAATGTTTCTAACTGGTATTTGATGGGCAAGATTGGTATCAGGTAGCTAATGGCTTGTTGACCACGGTTTAGATACGATACAGAAGAGAATCCCAATCATCCAGGCGCCAAATCAAGGAAAACTTGGCGATCCAGGATTTGCTTCCCAGGATTACTTGCCAGGCGAGCCAACAACCCTGCAGGATCATCTGTCGCGCGGCAGTGGGGGAATACTTAAATACCGAAACATTGGAAACCTCTGCATGGAAGGGTCCATCATGTATTTACCACATGGGTCCACCCATGCATTCCACATGAGAAACGCGGCTCGCCGAATGTGTCCGTCATCGCTGTCTGACTGACGCTCTCGGCATTCAAACTCCCGACCATTACATGCCCTTTCAATCTTTTGCTGGATGCTATCGAACGCCAGCGCCAGGGGTCGTCAATTTCAGAATTAAATTGCCGCGCACAAAAAAGTTCGTTTGTATAAAATCCTTTTGTGATCACACGCATGTTATCTATTTCCTCCCTTGCATGCGCATCGCACACATTAACGCGTGCATGGCGCAGTCATCGACGTTGTTTGTCGGCTGCACTCGGACCCACAACATGCTGGGTATTACTCCTTTGGTCACTTCAAAAAGGTGTCCTTTAAGGCTGGAGCTTTGGGAGGAAAAGTGCCTCTAGAGATACTCTTGGACACCTCATCTCGCAACGAGACTTTCCTAACGGACCTCATATACCAGTCTTTCAGTTGGGGATAGGCGCTATTTCGAACCTTCTGCCCGCACCGTTAAGATATACGTCATACTTCGTAAGTTCTTGAACCTGTTGTTCCTCCCATTGATTTCGTCTCTCTATGAGCTATGCTCATAATGACACAGTAATCGTAGCCAAAAATTCTTCGCAATGTCTCCGTATCGTGCGACCACTCCAGAGACTGATTCTGAGGTTGAATATCCATTGCTCGAGCAACTGAATCTTCGGATGACAGGAGAAAATGAGCAAAATGACGATGACGACACTGAAACAGTTAATAGCTGTTCCGACGGTGGATTGTGGATGCGGGAGCGACCAAAAGAATTTAATGTTGTATGGACACGGCGGGCATTTGTCAAGATTTTATTCGAACAAGAGGAGATATTTGCGAGATTCTCAGACTTTTGCAAGGTAGAAAAGCATTGTGATGATTGGATTGCGATGAAATGCGTAGCGGGTTGGTTCGCTAACTTTCATTTTTCAAAAGTTTGACACACCAACCTATCACGCACTTCGATTCCACAGTGCATATACTCGTGTTATCCGTCATCTGACGGAACGCCTTCCACCATCCTACCGGCTTTCCCTCTCACATCCAACATTTGCCATTAGTCGATTCCTTTCCCCAGATGCACCGCCTGCACCATCGCTCTCCTTTCCTTCCAAATTTGTTCCACACATTCACAAACTGTGGGCAACATATGTTGCACATTCATGGGATGACACGCATCTAGGAATGTGGATTCCTGGTCATGTTCGGATGAATATAGCGATTGGGATGAGCAACGAGAAGATTTGGTGCGGAATATTGGACGAGTGTGTTGCTTGGGTATTGGAAGCAATATTCAAGGGCGCGTTCCGACGTTTTGTTGGGGGAGGTTGGTTATACAATGGAGCGGTACTGGACGCTTCGAAATATCCGAGCCCGCCGGCATCACCTGCTGGATCATCGAGCTCCACCACGCGCTATTCAATGCGCTCCTCGACCTCTTCTTCCCTTATTGCACCTTGTATTTCCGTACGAACATCTTCTCTTCGGCCCCCTCCTTCCTGGTCAAGACAACTATCAGTTCTATCCATGGATTCGGAGCAACGCGACTCGGGAGTCTCAGTCAAGATAAATGACAGAGATAAGGGTGATGTGGCCTCCCTGTATAGTAAATTGGAATCGTTGGACAGGAGATATCCGAACTCTGCGTGGGGAAAGCGAGGATCAAGGAAATAATAAGGCGCGACGGTGCTTTTGTATAGTCTGTATAGTTTTTGCTCTATGAGTCTCCTTTTGTTTTTCTAGTCTATTGTTCTGCTACTTGTGAATTTCGGACCTTGGGATGATACGTACATAGTGTAACATAGTTTCTGTGCATGAATAATGCCTCACTAATGGAACCAGTCATTTTCTCAATTGCGTCCATCTGTAGGCACTGTAGCCTTGAGCAGCTGCCATGGTCAGCATGTGGCCAATGGCCGGAATGATATGCTCGCCGAACCCTACAGAATAAACCTAACCAGCTAACGTTCCATTGGAACATATCAGCCGGTATTTTGAGCTGGTCTGAAGGGGAGTCTTAGTGGACTTTTGTCATGTTACGGCTGCCAGACAGTGTTCGACATTTTATTTTTAGGAGTATCCTAGGTAGGTAAGATTACTGTTATTCTGTTTAAACCTAGCTACCTATTACAAAATGTTTAGAATCCATTAATATGTGCAATATACATCAGTATGTAATCCCTATATATCAGTAAGTAAATCAACGCTTCGCCCCTCATTTCACCCCCTACAATTATGCAACCATAACTCGTACCACTCTTACACGTGCATGCTCTCAACGCACCTCCTCAAATGCCTTTTCAGTGCGTCGCTCCTGCACCACCCAGCTCCGCACCAAGTGCACACAAATGGTCGCTCATTAGTATGCAAGCGGCTATGACGGATCAGATCGTGGCGACGAGCAAATTGGCGGGAACAAGGTGGGTGCTGGCAAGTAAAAAAGTCCTGCCCGGTATGAACTTTCTGGTGTACTTTAAGGTTGAATTTTCTGTTAGGTGAGTGTAAATGGTTTTTAGCTATCACCGGTGAGTTAACAACCACGAACGTTGGCTATATACCTCGTAAAAGTTTTGGTGCAGCCTGGCCAGTTGCACACAAGAGTCTTGGGAGGGGCGGATTTGCGCCGGATCGGGGTAGTGCGCTCCATTACGGCGGGAGCTTCACTATCCATCGGTGCCAAACCAACGTCACTCGAATCATTCATAGCTTTCGACAAAGCCTCCCTGCAGTATGTCATCGGACTCAATGGTGGCGACGGTAGTGAACTGGTCGAGGGCGAACCCGATGTGTATAGTGGGGAAAATAAATCAAAGACCGGATCCGCTTTTTCGAGATGGGACGTATCCAGACGCAAGCTTTGTGAAACCACCGACGATGGAGTTAACGGGTTATCAGTTTGTTTTCCCGACCCGCTTGTTGAGACTTGGAATATACCGGGGGAGAAAGTATAATTCGAATCATACGGGGAACTGAATTGCAATGAGGCGACCTGGGACATATCGATCGAACCAAAAGCTGATGCAAAGTCGAATGGGCATGCCTCATCTCCCAGAGGGCTAGCAACTTGGGGTGCTGGCTCTGAATTAGCGCAGGCAAATGCTGCGCCTGACATAGGAAGAGCAGAGTTATCCGATGGCAAGGAAGAACCCGCGCTGGACTCAAACTCAATAGCCAATAGCTCACGCGAAAGATCCCCCGACCAGATGGATAAGCCTTGTGCCAAATTCCTCTCCCCGATGTTTTCCGCCTTACTTAATTCGGGAACATAGTCGAGATTGATCGTATACTTTCCTTCCACCGATGCAAACATATCCGATTGTTGCTGACTGCCCAAAATCTCGAAAACTTGGTCAACCCCATTGGGATCAATTGACTGCTGCGTATATTGGCAATCACGAACTTCCTCATCACAAGCCGCCAGCTGGTTACAATCCCAGACGCGAACAACGTCCACGCTTTCACAACCTGCAGACGAAATCTGCATCTGTCCACCAACGTTGTTGCCGACTATATTTCCGTTGACATCATTCATCACGGTGGTAGAATAACACGACTGGGAGGAAAGGATGTTCATCAATGCCGTATGGCAAGAGGACGTTCCCGGACTCATGGAACTTGTGGAGCAAGCCAAGCACTCATTGCATGTGCAAAATGGCAGAGAAAGTGGAGGCATCGGAGCTGCTTTCCGCATCATACGCGCCCGGTCGAAAACAAAAGAACGGACAATGATAGACCGGAAAAAGAAATTTTCAAAAGAGAAAAAGCGGGGGTCAAGAGTTACTTAAAGGCTAGTAGTAACCTTCATCCTCCCCACCTATAAGCAACAGAAAATAACCATTTCTCCCACGGAAAGGAAGATAATCCAGTATCCGTCACCAGCCATCACCACTTCATCACCCCCCCTTCCCACGAATGAAATTTCCCAATCAACCACCGCAATTCTACATCCCAGGTTTCTTCTTTTAATAATGCCTGAAGAAAAATCCGGTTCACAGCGCAAATACCGAAAATCGTCTCATTTTAGGAGGTGACGGGCGGTGACGGGGCCCTATTCGCGGCTCGAGGGTTTTCGGCAGGACCTGCATCAATCCTGTCCTCATGAAAGAGTGCAGATTTCCCAAAATCATGATTCTACTAACGAATCAACAATTCAAACAACCCATCAAAAACACTGCCCCAAGCTACTCAGCCTTAGGACGGGCAACAAGCCCAAAAGTTGGAATACTCGTTATGTCAGCAGGGTAGCTCGGTTTTCCCTACCAGCAAACGCTGAGTACCATTGAACTTTCATACCAAAGTGATTGAACAAACCAGCTTTGTATTGTCTACTCGTAAGATCAGGGCGTGTTCACACCTCTCGAAAGCCCTGTGATATTGAATGACTGGGCCATTTGAATACGTATGAGGGCTAGCCTCATCTGAACGTACACCCTACAAAGGCTTGCTGCGGGCAGACGAGTACTTGTATGTCGGAATGGCAGGTTGTCACCAAGCGGGCTTGATACGCGGGGGACAGGGTTTTAAAAGTAGGGCAAGTCGTCGACTAACAAAAATTCAAAAAAGCGGAAAGAGATTTTGTCAGTTGACACATCTGTTTTAAACCGTCACAATACCTAAGGGAAGAAGAGCAGACCAAAAATCAGGTCGATTTTCTGCTATTTTCGTTGACTCAACAGGGAGCTCGGGCTTATCGAAGGATAGTGACATCATGCAAAAAAATTGATATTCGATGTGTTAAATGCTCCCTTCGTGGATTGAACACGAGACCTTTAGATCTTCAGTCTAACGCTCTCCCAACTGAGCTAAGGAAGCTGTTAAAATTTACAAATCTTTGTCAGTATTGTGCATTTGCAATACGCTCTCAGTAACTACGAGATCTGCAGCAGGGGCTCGCATTGGGGATAACACAGCAGTGGATGTAATTTGACGAACATCAAAAAAAGGACACCATCCTGTTCAGGATAGATAACTGAAAAAAAAAAATGCGGTCCAGATTGTTTGACTGCTCCCTTCGTGGATTGAACACGAGACCTTTAGATCTTCAGTCTAACGCTCTCCCAACTGAGCTAAGGAAGCCATGGAAAACAAGAGAGAGTGTCTTGACCAATGTCTTGATATTCAACAGCTCACGCACTCGCAGAAGATTGCCTAGTTCCTATGCAACAAAGCTAGTTCTCATACCTTGCTTTTTGACCAGTCGACAAAATAGAAAGGGACACTTCAGTTCCTACGCTGCAAAGTTAGTTCTCATACCTTGCTTTTCGAAGCAGTAAGTTAGAGTCGAAAAAACTAAGAAAGGGACAAACGTGGTGCTTTTTAATTATTTTATTCTTTTTTTTATGTTTTTCAGTGATAGTTTTATGTACAATTTTTTTCGGGAATATGATGGCTTGCATGAATAACAACCATCCCCCATAAGCTAGCTTGCAGAAACCGAAAAACATGAAACTCCTATGTCCGCTCGATACTTCATACTACTCGATACATTTGTACTGTGCGCCCATGTACTTCCATTCTCTTTCCATCCGTCAGACCTATACTGTACAAAATGGCTCATCTAGCCCTCATCCGAATATCTCAATCTACATCGCAACGTTGAAAAGAAACTGCTTAAATGCCCTCAGACTCGGTGAACAAAGCGTCATCTGGGTTGGGCTCGACGAACTCATCATCCTCGCCCAAAGCACGGCGGGCAAGGGTGCGCTTGCCAATAGGACCAAGAGCCGCGGCAAAGTTTGCTGGAAGATTGGCTGCGTTTCCTTTGTTCTTAAGGTTGTTGGCCTTGGTACCGAAGACTTCTGGTGTTGCAAGCGAGTCCTTGATAGCAACGCCTTGAGGTGCGAGACCAGCCTTCTGGAACTTGGGTTCGAATTGAGCGAGAAGACCGACGTAGTCCACGTTGGTAACGTAGGTGTTTGTGAACTGGCGCTTGGCGTTGTCGTTGAGGACGACGTTGTACTTGGCACCTTCGAAGACACCGTTCTTTCCTTTACCAGCTCCGGCGTCGAGGGCGGCCTGAGCGGCTTTGTTTTCCTTGATGGCTTTTGCCTCGAGCTTCTTCACAGCGGCCTCGACCTGGCCACGTAGGTTGTTACGCTGTGCAATGACTGCCTTTGGCTCAGCGTCCTTGAGCAAACCACCGTTACCAGTGAAGGATTGGAGGGCGATACGCGCCTTCAATTGGGGACCGACAAGGTCGGGTTGTTGCCCACGGTAACCAGAGTGGGTAGAGTCGATGTGGGCCGTATCGAAAGAGTCAGAATACAAGAGAGCAGGCTTGAACTTGACACTCGATTCCTGGCGAGTACGGAGACGAGCCTTCTGACCAGCGGGACCAGCTGGAGCTCCAATTTCGACAGGTGTGCAGACGGCGTAGGTACGGGGTTCCACAGAGTGCCAGTACAATTGCATGAGACAGCCAGCGCCAGCCCCACAGACGTTGGGGAAGTCGGCAGGAACAGTGAAGTTGGGACGGTTTTGGGCGTATCCACCACCGCAGGCAAAGCGGGTAATGGGAGCGACGTCGGGAACCTTCTGGTTCATGTTGGTCCAGATGTTGACCTCGCACTCGCCATCGTGAGGGTTGTTGAACTGGAGGGGAATTTCAACGGTTTGACCGGCGGCGAGGGCCATAGTGGGAGCTTGGAAGGGAGTAGCGTCCTGACGACAAGGTGTCATATCCTGGGGCTGTTCTTTGGCTGTGTTACGCTTGTTAGCTTCGTTGTCAATGTTGGACCGTAGGAACTGGTCGTTGTTATTTTTCTCCTGCGCAGCAAGCTTAGCGTAACCGAAGTTCGATGGGACTTGGTAGGGGAATACAGCAACGTTCTGACGACGGGTGAGCTTGAGGGAACCGTCACGGCCATTAGCGAGATTGGGGTTCTTTTGGATTTGGGTGTCCAAGAAACCTTTCTTCTGCGTGGAGGCAATTCGCATATCAGCATTTACCGAGCCGATAGCGGCGAGGATAACGAGGCCAGCAATGACGGATTGCTGGGAAGGCATTTTTGTGGGTTCGGAGTCTGGGATATGAAAAGAGGTGTGTTTGAAGAGGATTTACAGGTATTTGGTTAAGCTCAGAAGAGACTAGGAGGGAGGAGAGAGATTTATGCTTTGCAAGGCTGCAGCTCTCGGATGTTATGTTCTTTGCTGGGATAACGAGAGGAGGGATACTCCCGGTGACCGGTCTTTTATAGACCACAATTCCCCCTTCGCTTCAACTCCACCGACGTCCTTCACGAAAACGTGCCTGCTTCCTCGAAACAGCGAAGCTACTCACGGAGCTAAACAAGCAGGAGGTGGAGGATCCATCTCCTGGCCCGATCCATCGCCGTTTTACGCAAGATAATGAAAGGTTTTAGACTTTTTCATACGACTAATAGCCAAAATCTCCATCTTCAATTTTGGTTCCTTTCTGTTTTTGCTACGTCGTAAAGGCGCCGTTCTTTTGATGGGAAGGCAAAGCACTTGGCAACAAAAGCAGCCATCATCCATATAGCAAAGGTTGGCATTTCACCAAAGTTTCATCCTTCCATGTAGTAGCTCGTGGTTTGGTTTCGATTTCTCATGACCGTAAAAAAAACGATACAAGCGTTGAGACAGTGTTGGCAAATCAACCTTCTAACTTTTCGTTGTATTTTTTGTTTTGTTTACCTATTCCACACCTTGTTTAGATCACCGACTACTAACTTTTCCTTGTCCAACCTTGTGCTACTTAAAAGTCACAACTCAAATCAAATTTAGGCCGGCAGCCACACTCATTTAATTTCTGCTTGTCACGTGAATATATATGCGCTTGCCTTTCTGTGCACTTTTTAAAGAGTTTCAAACGGGGGGGAGTGGCCCACTGCGAACCGGGGGAGGACTGGCACCACGGACTTTTTTTCTACAGCATGGAATCATTGATTTGATAAGCTCACAGAACATTGCAATATGTCCACATTTCGTGGTATCCCAGTAGAATCCGGAGAGGAGCAATTTCCCAACGGTAAACGTGGTCCAGTGGCTTCCGGCTTCTGGCTTACTTTGGTAGGAGGAATTTGAATATATGCTTTTTCTCTAGTCGTCGCCACCACTTGCAATTTCACTTTAAACTTTTGTTCTGTGGAATTTTTCGATAATGTGTGAATATTGCGACATTTGATGACATTTGGTGGCATTTAGTGGCAAACCGCATGTCTGCATTTACATGCGGTGGCAACGAGTTCTCCTCGTAGTGGCTCGTACTCGATTGTGGAGATTCCGGTTTGCAGCGCCTACTAGATGGCGGAGTTGCTACAAGTTCCAACTATTGTCGATTCCATTACTCCTCAGTGTCAGTAGTTTCACCTGATGCCAAGGTCAAAGCTTCTCGTGTCGTAGGAGTAAGCGATTCGTTTCGCGAAAGGTGTCGGATCCGGGTCGGTGCTCAAACTCGTCAACGTCCTAAATGCACTGCAGATGTTGTGCCTGCAGAGGTGCCCGGTCACAAAGACACGCTACATCTCCAAACGCGCTGAACTGCTCGGGAACCACCGGCAGTTTCGATTAGAGATGTCAACAATGCGTATTCCATTTTCGTTGGTGACCGTGAACTGTTTATGGTTGCTGCCTACACATCACGTGCTGGTTTCAGTGGTGAACTGCTCGGGAACAGCCCGCAGTTTCGACAAGAGATGTCAACATAGCGTAAGTTCCATTTTAGGTTGACATTCGTGACCGTGGCCATCTAGATTGCTTCTTACACATCACGTACCGGTTTCAGTCTGTGCAAGTTTTGTGTATTCTCTCCGGATAGGAGTAGATTGTGACTTTTGGATACCATACGACACTTTTTACCACAAGCGTCTGAAGTTGGTAACTTTGAGGCCACGACATCAAGACCACTGGAAAGCGTGACTCCCATGTGACGCTTGTTAACGAGCAGTTCGCAGCAAAGATGAACGCATGGGGCAGAGTGAAGAAAATTACACTTAGGCAAACCAACAGCGCAGCGGAACGAGAAGTGGAGACACTGTATGAAGAAATTCACGCCAAAGTGCAGATACATACTGCTTATCACGAAAGGAGCCATCCATTACTATTATATCCCCACTATTCGTATCTTTAAATTGGCAGCCTAGTAGGTTTCTGGTTGCTTTCAAATCTTATAATACAATATTTTAACTCGGAGTGACATGGAAAACACATGACGGCGCACATGCCGTGATGTGTGTCAGAGTTGGCAGTTTCCATATAGCGCTCAACAATGAAATCAACAAAAGCAAAGAACAAAGCTTGAATTATATATAGTTATACTTACCTTAGTGGTTGAGATGTACTTAGAAAAGCAAGTGAGGCACAGTGATGCAATAATGCATCTATATACATAAAATGCGTGAAGACTGAAATACTGTTATATTTATGGAAGATATAGTGCACTCAAAGACTTTTTTACGGGATAGGATGTAAGTAATAACAATAAGCTGCATCATCACTACTAGTGAAAGTGTGACGGTTGTATCACGTGATAAGCATTGCCATGACAACTAGCGTTAGCTGCTCAAGAAAATATGGTGAAGCTTCAACACAAAGGCTGGCAGGCTAGCATTTCCGCTCAACTGGTTGTTAGGAACTGCTTTTCTCGGACCATCAAGAGGTCAGCAGGACAACATGGCTCAACACGACCTTACGACAAAGATTGGTCACTACCTGGACCGCCATATGGTGGCTCCATTACTCGAGTTTTTGTTGGGAAAAGAGGTATGGTTGCTTTTCATTCAGTATGGATCTTGACGCTTGCTGCTGTAAAAGCAAGTCGCAGCAATTGACATGGAGGTTCACCAGACCTACTGGGACTTGACGACAAGTAGTACTCACTCTGTTTCAATAGATCTACTCCCACAAAGACTTGATGCAGGCCAAGTATGACCTTCTCTCGAAAACGAAGATGATTGACTATACCAATCAGATTTATAAAGAGATTAATGGGTTGGAAGATGAGGGAGATAATGAGCCGGGTAAGCATGATACTTCTGATGGAGGGCAAGAGTATTTGGATTCGTGAAAGCGTGGATGGGAAGCATTCAGATATGGAAGTGGAATGACGACAATCAACCATCAGGTACGTTGTTAAACCCGAGCCTCGTGATGGGAAGGTCACAAATGATGAGATACATGGTTTCCTTTGGCTGTATGATATCTATGATTATATCCTCATTATTCGCTAGATAACATCTTCTGATGTGACCTTCCTAGCATAAGCTTTTGACTCTATGCATCGACTGATTGCTAACGGTACTTTTTTGCTTTCTTATCAAAGATCAGCCGCACATTTGTATAGGCTTGTCTCTTTGCTGATGTTGGTGGGGTGGACGATATTTTCAACCATCAGGTACGTTGTTAAAATTCGAGACTCATGAAGGAAGGTCACAAATGATGAGATACATGGTTTCCTTTGGCTGTATGATATCTATGATTATATCCTCATTATTCGCTAGATAACATCTTCTGATGTGACCTTTCTCGCATGAGGATTTTGACTCTATGCCTCAACTGATCGCTGACTATATTTTTTTCCTTTTCTCGTTCAAAGATCTGCCGCACATCTGCACGGGCTTGATGTTGGTGGGGTGGGCGACATCTCAGCCATCAGGCAGTCTGGATATGTGTAGTCTGCTGGCGAGAATGACTTGCGGAGATACTGTAGACTGTAGCCGTAGGATTGTTGGAGTACCACTCGACTAACCACGAACGTTACCTCTACTAGGATACGAAGAGCGGCGTGCGGGTGTCTTGCAAAAGTTTGAGGAATTGACGGAGCAGAGCTCCGAAATCATGGATATGATCCAGGACCCTATCGTCATCCAGCAGCTTAAGCAGGACAAACTCGCCAACATCCAGTTTCTAAGTGACAACTACAACGTAAGGCAAATGATACTCTAATATTTGAATTTGAAGCTCTATTCTGACATTGTCCCTCTTACAGTTCAAACCTGAAATGCTCAACGCACTTTACGAATTCGCGCTCTACAATTACGACATTGGTAACTACTCCAGCGCTGCAGAGATGCTGTATCATTTTCGTATTTTGGTGAGTCATGCGTTTTTTTAATTTGGGATGTGTTATGGGCATCGTAAAAGTCGACTTTTTAAGCCTTCCACAATGATGCTCTGGCATGTGCTAACCCTGTTTCTTGCTATAGTCCACAGACTACGACCTCAACGTCAGCTCGCTCTGGGGAAAGCTCGCCGCTGAGATTCTCACCCAAAACTGGGAAACCGCGTACGACGACCTAAACCGACTGAAAGAAATGATTGAACAGCGCAACTTCACCTCCCACCTCCAAGCACTCCAACAGCGATCCTGGCTGATTCACTGGTCTCTCTTTGTCTTTTTCAACCACCCCAAAGGCCGGGACGGCATTGCCGACCTATTCTTCCAACCGCAATACCTCAATACCATCCAGACCGCATGCCCATGGATCCTCCGTTACCTCACCACTGCCGTCGTCGTGAACAAGAAGCGCCGCAACGTCCTCAAAGACCTGATTAAAGTAGTGCAGCAAGAGTCCCATGCCTACCGGGATCCGATTACCGAGTTTATTGAGTGTCTTTACGTCAACTTTGACTTTGACGGTGCACAGCAGAAGCTCAAGGAGTGTGATGAAGTGATTGCCAACGATTTCTTTTTGGTTTCACTTCAAGAGGACTTCAAGGAGAATGGACGGTTATTCATATTTGAGACGTACTGCCGTATCCACCAATGCATTGACATCAAGGATGTGAGCCAGAAACTCGATTTGAGCCCTGAAGCGGGTGAAAAATGGATTGTGAACCTGATCCGAAATGCGCGGATGGACGCCAAGATTGACTCCAAGACGGTGAGTGGGTGATATGAGAGCAACGGCTTGTTGATTTGCACTCTGATATGTGTGGACCCTGTTTCACAGAACACGGTTATCATGGGCACACAGTACAATTCAATCTACCAGCAAGTCATTGAGCGAACGCGAGCACTGTCATTCCGATCCTCACTTTTGGCATCAAATATTGAGAAGAGAGAGCAGGAGCTGGCGAACCGGAGGAAGGTACGAGGGAAGGGTGGTCGTGAGGAAGCTGTTTCAACTCCTTTGGAAGGAGAGGATGCCGAATAGAGTATGTGTGGATATTGTAGATGATAACATGTGCAATATATGTATTATTAGCAAATGCACACGCTGGCATTTACCGAAAGCTTTCTAGCCAACATTTACCATCTACAAGTACAAGTAGTGTCATCCATACCGCGTTCGCTATTGGATCTCATCCATACAAATGTCCTCGTGGGGGTCGGGTTGCCTTGAGGTGACTTGTGTAATACCCGTTTTGTTTTCCAGTTGCTGCTCGTATACATCATTCTCCCCCTTTTACCACTGCACGTTTTTTATCTTGCTCCAACACACGTTCTTTTTTGGTCTAACAAGGGGAGATATGATTCCCAATGGCACGACAACGTGTGTTTGAGATGCAACACGTGCCCTTGAATATGGGGGGGATAATGTTAGTTTCTTGCTTAGTTCAAAAGCCCCGTTTTGGTTATGCAAAATTATTCTTTTTTAACGTGTGTGTGTGTGTTGGATGGAGGAGGAGGGGGTCGAGCGGCTAGGAAACATTCCTTGTTACAAAGGGGGTTTTTTTTATTCTATGTTGGGGGAGTGCGTGGTTGGGTTTTTGGATGAACAAAAGGTGTTCTTTATAATAATATCATTATTATTATTTTGGGTTCATTGTTGGCATGTGGTCGGGCATTCCGCAGCTGGTTGATTTTTTTTTTTTCTAAAGTAGTAATTCAGTTTTTCCTTTGTGTTATTTTCCGTTTGGATTTGCCGTATTGGGATTGGGATTTTGGTAAGTCCCGCTCTCTCTCTCTCGCTTCTTTTTTATATAAAGAGTAGAGTTGGGGGGTTTTTCTCCCTACTCTTGTTTTCTGTTTGGCCGTCCAACGCTAGTGTCGCTGCCTTCCCTTGTCTACCTACCACACACACACACACACACACGCACGCACACACGCACACACACACACACACACACACACACAAGTTTTCGATATTGGATAACCCGTTCGTGACGGGGCTTGTATTTGAACAAGGAACGATAAAGTGTACCGTCTGTCACGACTACCATGGCGATTCGGGATACTGTTCAACTGGGGATACATCCTCGGGGCCGCCCTTTACGGATTCTAGTTGCAACAGAGTACCTACCTCCATATGTCTCTGGTATTGCGAATCGATTCAAGAACCTTGTCAAGGGATATCGAGAGGAAGGGCATGAGGTGACGGTTGCGTCGGTGGCGGGGACAGCGTGTGATCTTGTTGTGCCGAGTGTTCCCAACTTTTTTTATCCGGCGCAGAGGTGAGTGTTTTATTGATGGGCATCGAGTTGGGCAGAAAACGGGGGGTTTTTCTCACTACAAATGTTGCACTTTACAGAATGTTTTTTTTCCCTCCCCTCTTACTTCTCTGGCAACTTTGTAATCCGTTCCGTCCAGTCCCTTACGACATTGTCCATCTCGTCTCACCACTTTGCCTCCCGTTGGTCCCACTCACCCCCCTCTTCAAGCTCCGAGGTGTCAAGATTTACGTCTCTTACCACGTTTACATGGAATTCTACAAAAAAGCATACTTTTACAACAAGACATGGCTCCATAAACTTGTCGGGGATGTCATTGAAAAGATTTATACATGGATTTATTTTGTTCCGTTAGTTTATTTGGCGGATTTGGTGGGTGTTCCATCTCGCACGGCGGATTCAGTTGTGTATCGTTTTGCCAAGCGGATTCATTTTATGAAGAGTGGATTGGATACCAAGGTGTTTGTGCCAAAGGAGGAAGGGACTATGGATGGATTGCTGAGCGGTGCATTGGTGAGGGAAGTTGGGAAAGAGAACGGGTTTCGAAAGAGTACTGGATCGAGAGTCAAGGATGTTGAAGAGTTTTTGCCTCCGTATTCGGCAGAGGATGAGGAAGTGGTTGAAGCAGCAGCGATACCATCTCCATCACCATCGGGATCGAATGGACCGATATTGGTTTACGTTGGCCGGTTGGCTCCCGAAAAGAATGTTCAGTTTCTCATTCGTGCCTTGGCGCATCCGACTCTCCAAACCGCGTCCCTCGTCATCGTAGGCGATGGACCCTCTCGATGGCAATTAGAACAACTCGCACAGAGCACAGTCGGTGAATCACATGTATACTCGAATCCCCCTCCTGCGAGTACTCGGAGGGATCCGTACAGTGCTCTCTCGCTCGCACCGGCTATGGCAGCCAGCACCGCCATACATCGCGTCATTTTCACAGGGATGGTCCTCTCCGAACGTGAGATTGCTCAGTACTATGCCCATGCGGATATCTTTGTCTCTGCATCAGCGTCAGAAACGTTTGGATTCACGGTTGCGGAGGCTCTGGCGTGCGGAACACCTGCCGTGGTGGTTCGGAGTGGTGCCTTTGCGACAGTGTACAAGTGTATTAATCAGTGGATGTTTGATGAGGATGAAGTTACGGATTTTGTTGACAAAGTCGTGACATGTTTTGAGCAAGGTGTGGAAGCGAGACGCATGTCGAGAAAGCTGGCTGTTGGCATGTTTGGGGTTCGGTTGGCTGTTGGGGATTTGTTGGGTGCTTATGATAAGATTGTGAATGGAGAAAGCGAAGGCACGAGTCAAGTTTGCATACAATAAAGGAAAAACATGGTCCGAGAAGGGGGTCCGTGGGCTCTACGAAAACACTTTTTGAACAAACCAATTTAGTCTTTTACATTTTACAAGTTTTCATTTGTTGTCCAACTTTTTTTTTTTTTTTATATAACTTGTATTAGTTTTATTTCACCTAATTTCAAATATACTAATACCCTATGGTAACTAATTTCCGCTGTAAAAACTATGGAACGTATAACTTTTATCCTCCTTTGTATATCTCGGTCCATCACGTATCTACTCTAACAAAACTTGAAATTGATACTTTCACCCATGGAAAAGTCCAACTTGAAGAAAGACCACCACAAAAAAAAAAAAAAAACAAAACGAAATCTTATCCCTCCAATCTACCTACCACTCATCTACCACATCTCTTCTATTCATACCCACCAACCACAAAGCTAGCATTCTTCATAGAATTCATAGCTTGATCCATCGTCATGTACGTATTCCGCACCGCAACACTACACTTGCTCTCATTCTCACAAATCTGCGTCCTCCCCAAATTCTTGAAGGCAGGTCCAGAAGGTCCACTCACATAATGCCACTGTCCAAAGAGTTCGTACTGTCGTTTATCACTACGAGGGTATTGTTGGTCACCCCACGTGCCAGGCCATGCCAACCAGTCGGTATCGGGGAGAGTCGTACCAGGTACAGCCGTAAAGTGGCCATCAGACATGCAATACGCCCGATAAAATCGAGCAGGGTCCCATTGGAACGCTGTTTTTGCATCGGATGTAATGTCGGCGAGTAATCCAAAGGGGAGGATATAGGGGTGTTTTCCTTTATCTCCATTATTAGGATAATTGGCATGCGATCCGCGCGCGGTATAGGAAATGGGTCGACCCGAAGAGTGTTTATCGGTAGCAGCATAATCTAGCCCCTTTCCCCCATCATGAGCCGAAAAGTAAACAAAACGTGGTTGATCACCTTCAAACCGGACCAGAACGTGTTCCCAATCTCCCACGTGGTCACCGTAATGCCGGCCAAGGACTTTGGGACCATGATTGAATGGGTAGAATAGGAACCAGAATGCGTCGGTGATGCCATTGGGTTTTGAGACGGTGATGAGGGTGGATGGGGCGGTTGAGACTAGGTTGGTTGGTTTTGCGGTTGGGTTTGTGAGCCAGGTTGGATCGGTTTCCACATTATCTTGAGCGGTTAGGAATGTTTTTGAGGGGTATTGGGGGAGGTTGGCCAAGGTGATCGGTGTTGGACCCGGTATGAGGTTGTTGGTGGGGTCGAGAGGGTTAATGTGGCCGAGGAATTCGGCTGGGTCCCCCGGGAAATGCTTTTCAGAGGCCTCAAGGTAGACGATAGGAGCTAATATATCGAATAAAGCGTTCATACACATATACAACACAAACTTATAGGGTATCAAGTAAAAAAACGCATACCATTCCGTAAGACAAAATCAGGCACTCCCTCACAGACGCTCTGGGTCTTTACAGTCGTGTTGAGTACGGGGAGTGCGCTCACACTAGCTGCACCAAGCAGGACCATCCATATGAGGATCATCTTGACGGAATGGGTCTTGCCGGGAGGGTACGACTAGCCTTCATGAAAAGGGCACTAACACACTTGCTTCTTTATGTTTTGGCAAGGTGGTGTCCTTTTTCCCCTTGCAAGTACTCTGCACGTTTTTTCCTTGGGTTTTTTTTCACACACCCCCTCTTTTTTGGATCAAGGTCAGAAAGAACCGTGCTAGTCGAAAAACGGACTCCATATTGACTTTTGGCTTTTCTCTCGCCGTCTTGTACGATAAAGGTTCACACACACAAAAACACAACGGACGGACAGCAATGATCACGGACGGCACTTTTTTTTTGGTCAAAATGTCCAACCATGAAATTCAGATGTTTTAAAAGTACGCTACACTTTTGTGTCCCATAAAAGTAAAAAAAGTAAAAGAAAAACAGCTGTTGAAAGCAAAAGAGTTCCATAAATCAAGAACTGTTCATATCGACATTTTATGGCTTTTGGTATTTTTGCGGCTTACTTTCCACCTTTGATTAATACAGTGTTCTAAAAACCATAGAGAAATTTTGGATATCTAACAGTGGTCTTGTTTCAAGCCAGTAAATCACGTGAGATTGGCTTTCTGCTTTTTTTAAAGCAACGTTCCCCAATAACATCCCAAAGTCCATCTAAAATATCACCTCGATCGAAAGCTACCACCAGCACAAAACACACTTTAAACTCTCATCATCAGAACAACATCATACCGACTGCCCTCGGTATGAAACTGCCAAGTAACAAAAACAAACAACGTTGAGTACCAGAGGAAACAAAAAGATATACAAGATAGAAAAATGGGTAGTATCAACAAGAAAATAGATCCAACTTACACATTTCAAATCCAAAAAAAGGAACCGACATCTTGACGACTTATCATATGACATAAAACAAGACACCCCAAAACCCCCACACAAAAAACATAACCCTAGACACAGACGTAGATGGTCCCGTTTATCACATGTATGTAGAAAACATCCAAAAGAACCAATACCGTCTCCAAAAAAAACAGTGCAAGGAAACAAACAAACCGTTTTTAAAAGTACAAGTTCTAATGGTATACGTTATCAGCACCACATTCATAGGCACCTAGACATTACGCATATACGATATGGGTCTGCCAAGTATGACCCACCATTCCAACCCCTCCCAAAAAAAAAACAGACATCCAACATCCTCTATATAATCCCTAAAAAAATAACAATTAATGGATCGTTCGGGTTGATTCCCACCATTGCCAAAACCCCATAAATCCATAAAATCCAAAAGCCAAAACCAAAAATCCCCCCCCAAAAAAAACCGCTCACGGACGCAGCATTTCCAATAAAACCATTTTACGAAAAATCCACCCTACTCAAACCAACTCATACTGAGCACCCGCTAATGATAATTACACAGCATTCGAAAATAACTTGCCATATCCCTTCATTCCAGTTTAAACAAATAGAGTTTGGAAAAGACGGATAAATCTCCACGTTCTTAAACAAATAAACAGCACAGTGTGAACCCCCCAAGTTCTTTAACAGAAAAACGGTATGATTTACTCAAACGCTATTATAACAAGTATCATAAAAAAATCCCCTACGCTCCTCCAACTCACTACACCAAACACAAAAAACAAAAACAAGAAACTGATAAGTACCCACCAACTCGCCAAATATTGACCAGTTTCCAAAAAACCAAGTAATTCACCCTTTCAAACCCCCTCTCTCCCACCTCCCATATCAAAAAAAAAAAAAAAACCCTCTCCAATGACTCCTACAGATCAACATCAAAAGTCAGCCTTTGGGGGAGCTAGGGGGGCTTAGCTTCGCGTTCACACCCACCACTGTATCCTCGCAATCAAGTATTTTGATACTGCACACAAACATCCAAATACCCACCAAAGAAAGTCTCGACAAAAGTATTCACTTGAAACGCAACACAGCATCACTTGACCAAACTCCCAAACCCACAACTC